TTCGAATGAACATAAATTTTTAGCATTGAAGTAAAATGTACTTAGTGCTTTGTACTCTTTAATCGTTTATTCAATGTAAAGACTTATGATATTTTTCAATAATTAAAAGCGAAATGTCTCGCGACGTTAAAATATTATATTCGATGATGATTTCATATTTGACTATTTCAAGAAGTAATGATGTTTATGTTTCTTTGTAATATTTACTTTAAAATGAGACTTTAACGAACTTTTTTTAATCACATATTTAAGTCCATAGTATCGATGAGGAAAGCTTATAATTTTAAAATTGACGTGACGAGTCAAAAAACCCTTGAGAATCCCAACAAAAGAAAGGACTTGACAAAAGAATAGAGTTCTTAACAAAAAAAAAAAAACAGATTTAAGAGTTTTGAGCTTCGTAATGATGCTCATAAATTTTTTGTCGCTACCCATAAATGGTTCTATTGGCCTAATTAGAGGTACTTAGTTAACCATAAGTGATATATTTATTTATTTATTTTTATTTTTTATATATTTATTGACTGCTAGCTTAAAGTTAATTTAGTTTTATTTTTTTATTCATTTATTTATTTCATCAACAAGGAAAACTATCGCAAGCCTATAGAATCCGGGTGGGAAAGATTTATGATTATTATCATTAAAAATATTCAGCTCAACTGTTTTTTCAAAAATATCATAAATCTGTTTTTTGATATTAATTGTTGCTTTTAATTTCGTTTTTGTTTTTCCCTAAAACTTTGACGCCAACCCACGTCACTTAAGTTGCTGATTTATTGACTTTTAAATGCTGCAACTGCTGCAGGCTGTAATTTTCCTTGATTTTGTTTTTTTTATACATATTTTTATTTTGGATGTTTTTTTTTGGGCTCGCCCTCAACACGCACAGCTGACTCATCAAATTTGTTTTGTCTTCTCTTTCGGCATGCTTTTAATTTAATTTGAAAAGTTTTCATGCCCATTTAGCGCATTAAACCCTTTTGGCCAGAACGTAAGCTGCGTCGCGAAAACAAAAGGCACAAAAAAGTGCGCCAAGATGTATCATAAATAATTATGATAACTGTCAGATTCTTTCTTCCTTATGTCCTGGGCCGCCTCTGCTCCGCACCCAAATGCAATTAGGCGGGCTTAGCCTTCAAAAATGGCTTAGAATATGGCAATTAGGCAGCCAAACTAATTGACACTGCAAACGGATTGGAAAAGAAATGGGACAAAGCCAAAGACAAAGGACGGTCCAATTTGGCGAAGGCCACTGAATGCAAATAAGCAAATAGGCAGTGGAAGCACTAGACTGCATTCAGAAATTTAGATGCATTGAAAGACAAGAGCTCTACTATTTTTATTTTCGTGCATACATGTCTTAATACGGTTAAGAAAAAATAAGTATTGTTTCTTTAAAAATAAGGTTTTAATAGTTTTCTATACTTTTTTTACTGGCTAATATTTACTATTTTCGATGAATCAAGAGTTCTCAGCTTGTTGTCCTTTTTCCAAGTATTTCTCTGCTACATATTCTAATTAAAAAATTGTTTTCTTGATATATAAAAGTAATTTATTATTCAATTTTAGGATTTTAGTTCCAGAGCTTAATATTCCAAAAATAATTCATTACTTGCCAAGGCTGCTTTATTTATCGTATGTTTGTGTATTATAAAGTATTATAAAGAGAGAAAGCAGTCCGAAAAATCCTTCGGTACTTTTTCCGATTCTCTGTGAATCTTCTCAAACATGACAAAACAGTATCCCCGAATAGTCTTTTTCATTAATTAACCAGCCAGAGATGACACCCGCTCGATTTCAATATCATATTTGTACACATTAATGTTGTTTTGTTAATGTAGTTTGACTTTTTCCACTTTTTACCTTTAATGTTTTATTTGTACAATAAGTAGCTATATATTTAAAAAAAAAATATTTTTTTTTAATTTCAATTTAAAAAAAATTAATTGCAGATATAACTACAAGTATAATAGACTTTCCTAGCTTATAAGGCTTTCTTATAACATTTATAGTGTATCCTATATAATTGAATAAATAAATAAATATTGTACTATTAATATTTAATTGTGAAATGGGGTTTCCTATTATTTAGTAATAGATAGTAAGATAGTACCTTTAATGTTTTATTTGTACAATAAGTATTTATGTAGCTATATATTGAAAACAAAATATTTTTTTTAATTTTTTAAATTTAAATTTAAAAAAAAAATTAATTGCAGATATAACAGATATAACAAGTATAATAGACTTTCCTAGCTTATAAGGCTTTCTTATAACATTTATAGTGTTTCCTATATAATTGATTAAATAAATAAATATTGTACTATTAATAATTAATTGTGATATCAGATTTCCTATTATTTAGTGAATAGATAGTATAGATATAGTCTCTTCTAGCTTGCTTTGTTTTTCACTTATGTTGGCATCCATCAAGCATATGTCAACACAACTGCATTGTCTGTACAAATGTTTTGCTATTTTTCAATTAAAATCAAATTGTATTTTCGTCTAACCGCCAACCAGTGCTGTCTCCACTCATACATTTTTCTCATTTCTGTTTATTTAGGACCTTTGTTGTGAAAAATAACAGCGGCAAAGTGAAAATTTTGCCACAAACACTGCTCACTTGCCAAAAATGTATATGTGTATACGAGTTTATGTGTATGTATGTATGTATGCATGTATATGTGTGTGTGTGTGTGTGTGTGTGTGTGTGTGTGTGAGGTATATATGATAATTGCGTTTTAAATTTTGATATGTGCTCTGTGAGTGTGCGGAAAAAAGTTGTGTGGCGCGCTTTCAGCCAGAAATGGGCATCAGGCACCCTCTTTTGTTTTGTCAGCATATTTAGCAGCTCATAAATCTTGGATGGATACAGTTTTGTGATTTACGACGTTACTGCTGGCAAGACGAAACTTTAAAAAAGAAGAACGCTAGATAGAGCATCATAGTCGAGCTAATGCGATATTTATTTAAAATTTTTTGCCACTGCAAATATTATTTAAAAATAAATAAGACTCCTGTATTTGTATTTTTTTCAAAAAGTTTAATTTAAGATGTTGTAAATAATTTATAAAAAAGAAAAATTTAAATAATCCCCAAACACATTATTAAATACCTCAAGCCAGATATATATAAATGGACTCCGAAGCCGCTTAATCGATTTTTAGCAATTTTGCGGCAATATTTAAAATAGTTCCGTGGCATTTTTTCGATTTTTCTAATTTGTTTCCATATTTTTTTAAAATTTTTTTTGTATTACTCCATTTATTGTTTTTTATACCCTGTACCCAAAGGGTACAAGGGTATATTAGTTTTGTGCGAGTGCACATGGAACACACAGAAGGAGGCTTGGTAGACCCCACAAAGTATATATATTCTTGATCAGCATGACAAGCCGAGTCGATATAGCCATGTCCGTCTGTCCGTCTGTCTGTCTGTCTGTATGAACGCAAGGATCTCCGAAAGTATAAGAGCTAGAATAACCAAACTTGGTATACAGATTCTCCTGAGACCGAGAAAGGACGAGTTTGTTAATTTTTTCTGATCCACCCCTCCACTCCCCCCCTATTACCGATTTTCTATAACTCAAGTAATTCTTGGAATTTTCAACTCAAATTTGGTAGTCACATTAGGTTAGTTATTATATAACCGTATACCAAGTCTCATTATGATAGAATGATCGGAAAGAAAGTTATAGCCATATAACCAGGCCCAATGCACACATACATACATATGTACAAGTACACAAACAGGCATAAGGCACGATTCTGATGTAAATGTAAATGTATGTATGCATGCATGGAATATTTTATATTTAATTTAGTTAATTAATTAAATCAATTTAGTTAATTAATTAAATTAATTTAGTTAATTAATTAAATTTAATTAATTAATTAATTTAATTACTTTTTTGTGGGGTGGTACAGGGTATTTAAGAGTTGAGCCTGCTCGACTTTAGCATTCCGTTCTTGTTTTTTAATATTTTCCTTTCATTTTTTTGTTTAAATATGAAAATAATGAGTTCAGTTTATAGCGGACCAATAAGAAGTTATCTAAGGGCATAACATCATTAAAGTATTTATAAAATACAATTATGTCTACAAAGCTAAATAAATCCAAGTTGTGTTGAGAACGGAAGGCGTCCTAAAGCTAACATTTTTTGTACGCTAGTCTACTATATATCGCTAAATCTATATCTACTTGTATATCTCTATCTTTATATATTTTAGTCAGTTAAAAGTTTCAATAGCATTTAGATTTGTTCGTCAACTTTCGTTGAGATCAGAGGTTACGCACATTATTCTAATTAATGCCAAGCACCTTTGGCTCTTAAAACCCATTAACCCAGCACAACAATTTTTACACTTTGCGTGGCAGGAAAAATAACAACAGAAAAACTTTGGAAAAAAGGAAAACTATGTACAACATCGCTGGCTTGCTTGCTAGCTTGCTTTTCTTTCCCACTCCTCTCCTTCGCTATTTATTTATTTTTTCAACAACTTTTACCTTTTCTCTCTCAACTCATTCTCAAGTGTAACGTGGGGCCACTTAGTTCGGCAACCGCTCGTTGTTGTTGTTGTTGTTCTTGGGTAAGGCCATTAGAAAAAGGCTATTTGAGTGTTGTTTTGTTGGTTCTAGGGAATGGATGGTTTTGTTTTTCTTGCTTTAAGTCAACAAGACGCAGTGAGGGGGGGCTTGGTAATGAAAATTACAAAAGGGTCACACTTTCCGGCTAAATTGTTGCACACTTTTCTTTTGGCACTTTCTGGACAATATGTAGGTGCTTTGATTAATTATAGAGGCATAGGGTTTCCGACTCAATTAAGATTGAGGTTGGCATTTTCAACGTGCTGTAACAATTGCAGCAGCTTAACTCTAAAAGTAATGTGATTTAAAGAACTTATATATTATATACTTTTATTCAATATTAAAAAACAAATTTAAAATTCGAAAAGAATTAGAATTGAAAGTAAAGCAAATGATTGTTATATCTTTCTTCAAAGCTGCATCATGGCCATAAATTTTTCACGTTGCATTTTCTTCAGAGCCTCATGTTTCTTCCGCTCCACATTTTTTAGCAGAAATGTTTTGAATTTGTGGCGCATGTCCATGGACATGCCTGTATTTCGCAAATCCAAATGCTCCAGTATCTTATTCAGCCCCAAGACCTTAAGCAAGTGTTTGCCAAAATCCTGCAAACCATTTAATTGTCCATTAAATTATAATCAATAACATTTAGTTATCATTGAAACGCACCTCGCCCAGACAATTGTTGGACAAATCGATCTCCAGCAGTGTCTTGTGCTGACACATGAGCAACATAAATAGTTTCGTAATGGATTCCGTGATGGAGCAGGAGCCCAAGTCCAGCACCTTGATGGGCATTACTTGCAGCGTATTGAAAATGGCGGCAGCGCCATCGCTCTGAATGGGATTGAGGCGCAACACTAGGTGTTGCAGGGGCACGTGCTGCAGAGTGCGACTCAGTATGTAGGCACCCTCCTCAGCTAGATGGAATAGAATAAATATAATCTTTTGTGTTCTTAAAAGAAGAAGCTTGTCTTTTTGTCTAAGGCTTATTTGTGAGAACTATAATTCTTGTGGATGACTTTTCTTAAACTAGTCGTTTCATTAAAGTAACTCACTTATCCTATTATTGGTCAGATCGAGCATGGTGAGCGTGGCAAAAGATTCTTTGGTGCAGTTCTCCATAAAGCTTCGTATGCCCGCATCACCGATGGCGCAGTGCATCAGTGAGAGGGCGTTGAGGTGATGGCAGCCCTTGTCCAGACAATGGGCGAAGAGTCGGAGCTGATACGGTGCCAGTTTTGTGTTGTGTATGCTGGTAGCGTGAAATGAGTTCGAAAACTTTCAGAACTTCCAATCAACTTATCGAATATCTCACCAGAAGGAGCGCAACTCGTGGCACTGACTCAGTCCTTTGGCCAGCAACGCAATGTCGCGTGAGGAGAGTTGATTGCAGCCCAATTGATAATTACAGCCGGCCGTCTTGGTGCAATAGCTGAGCCGCAGCCTCTGTAAATCCGGCAGATTGGCGAGCAGGTAATCAAGTGGAATGTGATCTGTGTAAGGGAAGGTTTATGTTTATTCGTGTTTCATGTTTCGTTGCACAATGGGATGTGAAACAGAAATTTTGGCTAGATGTCGAAAGTGGAGATTAAAGATGAGGAATGAGGCTGAACGATGAAGATTACAAAGAATAATGAATGAGATGAAGAATGCTGGCGAAGAATGAAGATGCAAAATTAAGAATAATAACAAAGAAGAAGAATGAAGAATGAATTTGAAGATTACAGTTGATGAATAAAAATGATGATAAAGAATGCAGAAAGAAGGCGAAGAATGACGTTAATGGTAAAAAGTGGAGATAAAAATACAGATAAAGACTAAATGCAGAATAATGAATGAAATGTAATGTGAAGAATGAAACTAAGAAATAAATATGAAGAATGCAGATGAAAAATAATGATTATAAATAAAGAAGATAAAGAATATAGATGAAGAATGAAAATGATGGTAAGGCATGCAGAAAAAAAAGATGAAGAGTGACGTTTGAGGTAAAGAGTGGAGATAAATATGAAGATAAAGAATGATGTTGAATAAAGAAAATGGAAAATGAACATGATGAAAGCAGAATGAAGAAAAAGAATGAAGTTTAATATGAACAATGAAAATAAGGAATAAACATAAAGAATGCAGATGAAAAATATAGATACAGAATGATTATAAATAATGAAGATAAAGAATATATAAGTTTAATATGAAGATGAAGAATGCAAATGAAAAATAAAATTAAAGAATTAATATAAATAAGGAGATGAAGAATAAGAATGTTGAATGAAAATCAAGAATGCAAATGAAGAAAAAATAAAGAATAAAATTAAAAAATTTTAATGGATCTAAATATTTATGAATTTATAATAATAATTAACTTACTATTTATAAATAGAATTAAAATAAACATAATTTTAAAATCTCTTTAATAACGGTCCCATTTCAAATGAATAATAATGTGACAGTCTTTTGAGCAACAAAATCGAACTCACAGTCCACAGTGCGTCTACAATTCTGCTGCTTACCATTGGTGTCGCTGCCCGGAGGAGCGGGCTGTAGCTGATTTATCTCCAATTGATTTATATATGCCGCACAGATGTCCAATGTCGTCTGCACATTGCCCTCCGGCTCATAGTCGCCGGTTTGCATATTTTCAATAAACTCCTGCAGATGTCGTTCCATGTAAATGTTAATCCATGGCCGCTCCCGTCCGCGCAGCTGCATTGTCGCGGAACGCCACCGCTGCTGAAAAGAACGCTCCCAGAAATAATCGTCGCTTATGTGGGCGCTGAGCAGTTCCAGCGGCAGTTCCACATCCAACTGACTGAGTATGTAGTTACGGTCCTCGTGTCGCGGCAGCTGCTCGTAGAGGGGAACCTCTAGAAGGAGTCAAGATGTTGCCCTTTTATAGTTGTCCTAGCTCTCGTCATCTCTCTCTTTCTCTTTCTAAGAGCTGTTGTTGTCTTACCACTCCAGTTTTCCACAATGGCATCGAGCACAAGATGTCGCAAACTTTTCACTTGATTTGTTTGGCATTCGTTGTTGTTGCTGCCGGCGGCATCGGCAAGTCCGGGCTGGCTGCTCAGCAATGACTTGCCGCTGATTTTGGGCAGCTTCACATCATTGGGATTGAAGTAGGCCTTGAAGGTGTCGAGTGACACCGTGCAGGGAAATTCGCAATAAGTGAAATCCATTTTACATTCCTATTTAGTTGCAATGTCTGCTTGGATCGTATGTTAAGCATTATTTATTGTTGACAGCGAAGGGTTGCTTTCTGGACTTGAGGTTGAGGTCGGTTGCCAAGACAATGGATAACTGGTTGCCTTGGCATTGTTATTGGCGGTCTACTGCTGACAAGGACTAATGTGGAATATAATAGCTGGTTGATGAACAAATGTGCAAGCGCTTTCACAATTCATGAGCAACAGAATGATTGTGATATGAACTGTAGAGAGCTGCAGTTTTGGTGACTTTTTCAACCCCAAACAGGGCTATTAATGATTAATAATAATTGATGATTTGTAACTTTTTAAATTGTTTAATGAGTTCTTTTGCGCCTAATATAAATATCGTTTGAGAGGCCTTAACTGGCAGAAAAGTTATTTCAAAAAGTAACAACGAATATTACTCAAGCTAACTAAAATGAACCAAATAATAATACTAATTGAGGTATACTTGTATAACTAAATGGCAAGCCTCCACATTTTAGTTTTGTTAATAATGAATATTAATATTAGTCAACAAACATTGCACAACGATATTACTGTGTATCTTGCGTGATTCTAGCTAATTCGACTACAAACTTAATGACTCTCTGCGAATATTAATAAACGAAACTATTTATTTACATACATATATGTATATACTTGTAAGAAAAATAGAATGAATGTACATATGGGAGCGGTCCCGAACACAACAACGCGAATTCAAGATCAAAATTCAAATTATTCACTGTGCTGTAATATTTTTTAAAATAATTTCGGGTTATTTCTCTTTCAATTATTATCACATCCAATTTTTTATTTCTCTCAAATTTTACGAATACTTTTTAGAATATTTATGTTTGGCAGTTCAATGATTAATTTATTAACAAATAATTAATTTAGCATTCAATTTCATATATTTTTTAATAGTTTAAGGTAGACGTTTTTGGAATTAGTAGGGCTGGTAGTAAAAAGAAAATGTAAAGAAAACACATCCGACATATTTTTCATCGTCCCAGACATTGCTGCTGCCAGGATGAGCAAGAGGTCCATATTTAATAACAAATGGATACTCAACAGTTTAAGGAATTGAACCCATATTCCGTTTAGCTTAAATTCAAATTATGCCAGTGTTTAATACAATATTTGCTTAAAATATATATTTAATATATTTATTGGTCATCAATCAATCAACAATATTATAGAAGAATTCGAATTTCAACGCGACATCTGAGGTGATTGACTATACTGCTTTTTTTCTCCTTATGATTACTGATCTGAAAGGAATGTCACTTCGTTTCTATAGGTGCCTGATTGCCAACTTTTTTACTTGAAAGGGTTCGTCATTCCCCTTGAATATAGGATGGTTGAACTCGTGATCAGCCGCTGTTCACACAAAATTCTTCTCCACTTTAGTTCTTAAAGATGTCATTCAGATACATATTGCTATTAGTAATTAGTAATATAATAATAGCATAATAGCAATATCTATTCTAGAAGAAAAAAATCGAATGATATTTGTGCATAATAACCTCTTTGGAAGAAATTTAAAATAAAATAGTCTTCATGGTCGAAGTCTTAAAGTCTCTACTTACTATTAAAACCTCAAATAATATGAAACAAACGATTTTATTGTCAATCAATAGAAAAATCCATGTTGCATGATTTATGAAACCAAATTCGCACAATAGCAGTGAACCAAAAAAAAAAACAAGAGAGAACGCTACAGTCGAGCAAGCCCGACAGTGTAATACCCTGTACCCAGGTAAACTTCCGTCATTGAGTTATATGCGCCCAAAAAAAGCAAAAAGAGGAAGAAGAAGAGCGAACTTGTTGCTGCAGTTTGGGGGGTTGTACTGGCGATAATTTGTTTTGCTAATAACTTTTCTTAGAATTGACCGAATTGAATAAAATTTGAACAGTAGTAGATAATTATAAATAAATTATGTGTGCAAAGTTTGGTTTAGGTAGCATTTGAAATGTGGATGCTATTGACGAAATTCTGTAGCGGGGGAAGGGGGGGAAAATTCCAAAAAATAAAATAAACTCGTCCTTTCTCGGACCTAGGAGAATCTGGATGCCAACTTTGGTTATCCTAGCTTTTATAGTTTCTGAGATCCTTGCGTTCATCCAGACGGACGGACAGACGGACAGACGGACGGACATGTCTAGATCGATTTCTCTCGTCATGCTGATTCAGAATATATATACTTTATGGGGACGGAGATGCTTCCTTCTGCATGTTACATACTTTGCACAAACCTAATATACCCTTTTTACCCTACGGGTACAGGGTATAAAAACATTTCGAATGTTGCTGTTCCCGCCTCGATTTCAGACGCAATGACAAACCAATTTTGTCTACTTGGAAGTGCCCCAATGTTGCAGAAACCACCGCAGCCACCGCAGCCACCGAGACCATTATTATGTGCTCAAGCAGCGCAACGTTAAGTGCCATAAAAATAATTCAAAATAAATTGCTTTACATAAAAATTGGCCTCTCTTTTAGGGCTGGGGCGAGGGAAAAAGCGCAACTGTGCTTATATATATATATATATACGTACATATATGTATGTATGTATTCGTAAGGTGCATAAATTGGCCATAATAATGCGCATCATGAAAATTCAACACACACACAGACACACTCTCAAGACAAACTGGCAGGCTGTGTTATTAATTTTGCTTTCGGATTTTGCCGCCATAAGACATAAATAACGCGTTTTATACGAAATACTTTGCATATTTACAGGCGCCGCAAACTAAGCCATAAAAATTACACAATTTTGAAGCCAACAAAGTCAACAGAGTAGGAAGGACTCAGACATTTAATCTTGGCGCCAAGTCATGTCAGCTGCCACTAAGCTGCGAAGGTGAACTTGCAATACAAGAGGAAGAGAAAAAAAAACTGCCAAGTCAATATTATTGGCTGTGTGGCGTCGTGTTTATGCAAATGCCAGCCCCCCAGAGAGTAAAGTGTGTGTGTTTGTGTGTATTGTGTATAAACGCCTTGTAATGTCATGTAATTATGTGGTCATAATCAGCTTCGAGCAACAGGACCAGCAGGACTAAGTAGTAGGACCAGCAGCTCAGCAGACATTATCGCGTCCAGCGAACGACTTTGTTATGCAAATGTGGATTCTGAGAGATGCCCAAGAAAAGCAAAGGAAAGTCGTTTCAAGTTAGCGCTTAACTGTTGCTCTCGCTAAGAGATAACAGTTGGACAAGCCTAGAATTATTGTTATTGTTGTTTCTATTGTGCCCCGGCTTGCTGAGAATTCAAGAATTTCCCCCCAATCTACTGGCTGCTTAAGCTCAAGCACGAGTATCTGAACAGCTCTAGCTTGGATAACAACGGGGGAATATATTTCGACATCTAGATGAGTCTTGGGATACTGGTAGAATATTTGAAAGCAAATCCATTTTGGAGGCACACTAAAAAGTACATATCACACAAATATCAATGAATACTAATTACATAATTAATTATTTTCTGGCTGAATTAAGCTCAAATAATATTTACAAAGAAATGCTATTAATAATTAATTCTGCTTAGTTATATGGCAACGTTTTAAAGCATGCTCAATTACTATTTTGATTAATAATGCAGACCATAAGTCGGCTGCAATTAATAAAGCAAAGCTATGATCATTCTTCAGAGAAAACATACGTATATTCTAAAAAACACCTTGACTAATAAGTTTAAAGTGTTGGCTCTGAGCATCGCACTGATCCCTATATTCGTATTGTTATATAATCGGCGATGGCTAACTGTCGATATCTTGATAAATCTGTGGATCCTAGTAGAATACAAAGCGGTTGTTCTCCTCAAAAAACGCGTATTGCAGTTTCTACAGTTAAATATATTTAGCGTTACTCACTACATAGGTCTTAATGATCTATTATAATACAGTAACAAACTAACGGAGCCATAATAAAAATATAAATAAGTAAAGCAGGTATTATAGAACTTAGCAGGAAATATTACTAAAAACGATTTGGCCCTAAATTATAGAAATAGTTAAACACAATCACTACCAGAGAAGATAAATATCTGAGGAACAGGCAGATAAGTACCTACTAGTTTTATTTAAAAAAGTTATACAACATAGCAGGAAATATTACTTAAAACGATTTGGTCCTAAATTATAGAAATAGTTAAACACCATCACTACCAGAGAAGATAAATATCTAAGGAACAGGCAGATAAGTACCTACTAGTTTTATTTAAAAAAGTTTCATCTAAGACTGTTGACAATATCGACTATAATTAGAACTAACGTATAACTACAATAAGTACAAAGACGCATAGGCCACGAAAATCTAGAAAGGGCTGGGAAAAATATAGACTTCATCTGCTGTAGATTGTTGTAAAGTCATCTCTAACTTACACAACACAATGAGCCCTCCCGTTAATTTGCCAAAACACAACTAGCAACATCTAACATTAGGCATCACAGGCACTTGAACGGACAGTATTTACTGATTACTAAGGTATTTTTTATAGCTACTGATTTGAAGCTGAAGATGTGACTGCACATTTGTTTAAATCAATAATGCGAATAATAAATTCACAGACACAATCATGTTATGCATGAACTAGTTTGTAGTTGAAGTATTTTCCTGCTCGCCATTTAAAGAGGCAGATAATATTTCAAATAGAGTACATTTGCAAAATTTAATCAGTTACAGATCTAGCTTGGTTATCATCAGTCCGAAGCAACTTCAACGGCTCTGCAATGTTGGCAGATTAATAGAGCTGTCCTCCTCCCAGTTTTTCTTTTTTTATACCCTGTACCAGTAAAAAGGGAAAAAAGGGCAAAGTATGTGACAGGCAGAAGGAAGCATCTCCGACCCCAAAAAGAAATCGATCTAGACATGTGCGTCCGTCCGTCTGTCTGTTTGGATGAACGCCAGGATCTCAGAGACTATAAGTTGGTATGCAGATTCTCCTAAGTCCGAGAAAGGATGAGTTTATTTTATTTTTTGGAATTCTTCCCCCTTTCCCCTTCTTCTTTTTGCTTCTGTTATGGGCGCATATAAATCAGTGCCGGAAATTTGCCTGGCTACAGGGTATTACACTCTCGGACACGCCCGACTCTAACGTTCTCTCTGGTTAAAATTTAAGGTTGCTATCAAAGTTTTGCCATACGGACCGATAATTATGCAGCCGACTTGTTTTATTCATACTCAGAGTAAGTTTATTACAAACAACATATGTATATATACATCATCATATACCCTATTTAAATTTCATCTAAAACACTCCACCATGAAGCTGTCATAGAAATCATTTGTACCGAAAAGTTTAGTTTTGAAATGGCAGTAGCGGGGAAAGAAGGGGGTCCGGAGTATTTAATGGTCATCTATTAATTAGCTTTTCCAAGAAAAAGTTGCGTTTAAGACAATGAAGAGCGGAATATCTGTAATTCAAGAACCTGTTGGTATTGGAGCTTCCAAGAATAGTAGAAGAATAGTAGAAGGCATATAAATATTACTATTATTGCCAATAATAATAATTTATTGGAACGGTTACCTTAGACAAATTCCCAAATTACAAAAATTAGGCACTTTCGCTTTAATTTCATAAATCAATATTAAACATTAATTAATCATTTTAAAATATATATATTTTTTTAGTTATTGTTGGATCCCTTTGGTGGCTTAAATCAAACTTCTGTATGAGAACACCACTTAGGAGGCCGACCGAAAGGTTGAAAGGTCGATTCTTATTTCAAAACACTATTGTACTTACTGGAAATGTATAATAAGTGCTTCATAACTTATTTAATATTAAGGATGTGTTGTTATTCAATCATTTTATTTGAATTCTTTTAATTAATCAAGAAATCACTTAAAGTTCGATCTTAGCAAGTGGCTTTATATTTTCCAACTCAGTGGGCTTAAGAGTTTTACAATATGGAGGAGCTTCTTCAAGTTCAACGCACATTTCTGCATCTTCTAAGGGTGCAGGCTTAGGATACTGACATACAGCTCTATACCTGGTTGCATCGCACTCATAATCATGATATACCAACTTTGATGGGCTATAGTGAAAACAACATGACACACACTTTTGACGCCAATAGTCAGGCTGTCCAGGTCCCCACATATTAAAAGGAATTTTTTCGTTTGTGGGATGCAAAACAAACTTTCGATTTTCTTTGAGGCAATTAATTGCTGTCCACACGCCTGAGGACCAACATTCTAAATCAACACCTTCGCTTTTGAAATATGTCAGGAGAAGATCCCTTTCCTTTGCATTTTCCACCACCAGCATCTGGGCTTTATTCTCAGTGCAAAAGAGCGCGGCCGCAATCCATTCCATCTGTAAGAACTGAGAGGTAAGCAACTAAAATATTTAAAACGTAATATAGTATGTACCGTCGAGTGGGATATAATGTAACATTTTGTACCCACGGGCTTAAAGCCCTCCCGACAAGTTGCCAGAGCATAACACAACAGACCTATACTACACAGAGATCTAAGCAAAAGCATAACTGGCACTTGAATGGACAGTATTTACTGATTACTGATTCTCTTGATATTTGAATACTCTTTTATAGCTGCTGATTTGAAGCTTAAGATGTGACTGCACATTTGTTTAAATCAATAATGCGAATAATAAATTCACAGACGCGACATGCGAGATATGAAATAGTTTGTTCAAGTGATTTCCTGCTCCACATTTAAATGAGAGACAGATTATATTTTCAAATAGTGTACATTTGAAAAATTTAATCAGTTACAGACCTAGCTTGGTTCAAGTGAATCTTTTCCCAGTTTTTGTTTTTGAAAGGTTGCTATCAAAGTACTTACTGGAAATGTACACAAGTTATGTTGCCTATATCTATATAAAAGAATTGAAGTATGTATGTATGTTCTCTATAGACTCCGAAACCGCTCAATCCATTATGATCAAATTTTGGGGCAATATTCAAAATTCATAATTCAAAAAATAAAATAAACTCGTATAGACTAGGGACTAGTAGCGCCTACATACCAAGTTTGGTTAATGTGCGCTTAACCGTTTCCGAATTCTAGGCGTTCATCCAGACGGACGGACAGACGGACGGACGGACATTTCTAAATCGATTTCTCCCGTCATGCTGATTCAGAATATACTTTATGGTCGGAGATGCTTCCTTCTGCATGTTACATACTTTGTACAAACCTAATATACCCTTTTTACCCTTTTGGTACAGGGTATAAAAAACGAAGGGGGTATTGGGAGAAATGTGACGTGGGAAAGCTTAAAAAGCACTTCAAGCTACGCTAGTTAATAATAAAGTGCATAATTTATGTGTGAATTGAAATGTAAGTCGACGATTATAAAGTTATTTGACTGCACACATTTATTTGAATTTACCAAATACATTATTTAATATTTAAGATATACATTTACATAATTCTGGTTAAAAAGAACAGTTGTTGCTCATGTGCAAGTAATACCCCCAGAGTTGCTTTCTAGAAGCGGTGCTGAAAATTGAAGCCACCTCCGAAGTCATTGCGCCCTTTGAAAGGTCCACTCATGTGGCGCATTGCATTCGTGTTGGCATTGAGGGAACTATTGCCACTAGAGGAGGTCCAGAGATTCGCTGAGGCGCCCGCATTCATGGTCGTCATATGGGCCTGTGGAATATGAGAGACGCCCACATTGGCGGCATGTCCGCCGGCGCTTTGATAACTGAGGCCGCCGCCCATTTTGTCAAAGCTCGGGCCGTGGTTTGGCTTTATGTGACTATGGAAGGCATTGGCGTTGAGCTCGTGATGTTTGTTGGCCAACAGACTGGCATTGCCGGCCACTGTTGTGGCGGTGCTTAGTCCTTGGGTGTGGCCGCGCTCCACGCTCAAGCTATGGCCGTTGCTGCAAGTATTTTGGACAAGTATGTTAGAAAAATGGCAATAGTTGTTGGGGCGGTGAACTTACGCATTCAATTGGCCATAGACGCTGGTGGTGACGGGTCCGTTGGGCACTTGGCCCGCTGCAGAGACCCCAGCGCGTGCATTCACCAAATCGTCGCCCTTTTTCACGCCACAATGCGCTTGAACTTGTGCTTTTTCTGCACTGATCGTCACTGAAGATCCGCAATCCATATCTGACTGAACTCTTTCGCTATTGACACAAGACTGACTGCATATTGCCGCTGTGCTCTTGCAATTTATAGCGAGCGGATAAAGAAGACGCGGTACTTACCCGCAGGGGAACACAATTGCAAGCGAGCTGATTAGCCAGCAGGGGATCCCCTTGCTTAAATATTATAAAAATCTTTATTATGCTTATGCAAATATGTACTCGTATGTATGTACATATGTTATGCTTGTGGTTGATAAGTTGCGCTGCGATAATTATCGCTGGCGATTTTTATCCATATGCGAATATGTTTAAATAAAATACTCATTAATCATCACAAGAACAAAGAGAAAAGGGGAACCTCTAGAAACGCTTTACATATAAGTGGACGCGAATGAACTTATGGCTTAATATATCAGCTGGTTTTAAGATATATTTTATATTTTACTTCAATATATGTTTATTCTAATCACACTTCATGAAGCTGCAAAAGAAAGAAGATTTGGGCCAAGCGGTTGAAGTCTCTTAAATCAAAGGAACTCGAATAAAATGTAGACTAAGCTTTATCTTCGATCTAAGCACATTAGAAAACAAACGTATTGTAAAATAACACATTTAAGCGCAGAAGAGCAGATAAAGCTATGTTGAAGTTGATTTTATATGAGATGATAATTTTAAAGAAGGATCACAGTTTTTGGTAATCTCATCTCAATAACAAAACGAATGAGGCCTCAAAATGTGCAATATGCACAATATATTTAAAAATATGAATTTAAATATAAAGATAAAGCTATGTTGTAGTTGCTATTTCATCTTATTTTATGAGATGATCATTTTAAAGAAGGATCACAGTTTTTGGTAATCTCATCTCAATAACAAAACGAATACAATAACAAACAAAATGTGCAATATGCACAATATATTTAAAAATATGAATTTAAATATAAAGATAAAACTATGTTGTAGTTACTATTTCATCTTATTTTATGAGATGATAATTTTAAAGAAGGATCACAGTTTTTGGTAATCTCATCTCAATAACAAAACGAATACAATAACAAACAAAATGTGCAATATGCACAATATATTTAAAAATATGAATTTAAATATAAAGATAAAACTATGTTGTAGTTGCTTATTTCACCTTATTTTTATGAGATGATCATTTTGAAGAAGGAACAATTTTTTTTGGTTATATCATCTCAATAACAAAACGAATGAGGCCTCAAAATGTGCAATATGCACAATATGTTTAAAAATATAAATTTTAATATAGCCAATGATTATTTAGAGCATGATACACAAATTTCCACATTACATAACAAATACTTTTTTAATATATTAAGTTCAGAGAGAATTCTCCGTTTCCGGGTCTATTCATAAAGTAAGTCTGAGAGACTTGTAAGATCGAGACTTGGAATAAGTTCCTTACCACAAAATAGGGATCTGATCCCGAACCGCAGAATAACATATTGGTGAATAGGATATAGTTAAAAAGCCACTCACCCCTTTCGTTAGAGTGCGATGAGAGTAAGAGAAAAAAATGATTGTGTCTCACAATAAAAAACTAACAATATATTATATTATTATATATTTTCTTACTTCCTATAATTAAACATGCTCAAATTATTAATCAACAAAATTTTATAGTTTTCAAAACATTTTTCAAAGCAACTTTTTATATGTATTTCTGGGATTTTATTGAGTATATATAGTACAAGTATATCAATTTTTTTAAGTGAAAAATTTTACGAATAGCTGCATGACGAATTAATTAGTGACCGACTTGGCACATTTATTTATCTTCAAATAATATGCCCTATATGTGTATGAATAATGTATGCGCGTTTGAGAAACAATATATATGTAACATAGTTGCACGATATGACGAAATAATATTTAATTTAGTTTCAAAAAAAAAACCCCATGAACTTGATAAAAATATCTGGCCGACATTCAAGATGCTTTTATCACGTAGGGTGCCTAAAATTAGTTTGCATATAAGTATGTTAGTTTATTTTATTTGAAAAGAATTTTTCCTCAACGGTTATTGATTTATGGGCGCGGCACCTTCAAATGGCGTCGTGGCTTAGTTGGTTAAAGCGCCTGTCTAGTAAACAGGAGATCGTGAGTTCGAATCTCGCCGAGGCCTATAAAATTGCTCCAAATCGGTGGAAGAGTGATATTTTACGCCCAAAACAGGTGAATCTTATCTATCGGTAGAGTTGAGTGTGAAGAAGTAAATATCTCTCTATCAGTAGTTAGAGTTGTAGGGAGGAGAGCAGTTATTTTTAGTGTCAAAGCAAATAGACTTTGTTTGTTGTGTAGACAGACAGATACAGATGTTGAAATGAAATATCTTTGAGATAAATGAAAAGAAAATTCTTCCATGATGTTGTTTGGTTTCGTTTCGAGTAGTTCTTCAGACTGAGAGGGAAGCAATATTCTTCCATACGAATTTATAGAAAAACTGGACAGTGGGACTGACTGACTGACTCGAAGCACATTAAAAAAATGAGGTTCTTTGGGATTTAGTGTCAACAATTTTATAAATATGTATTAATGGAAATATTTTGAAAAGTAAATGCATTGAATTTTTTATTATGTGTTCAAAAAGTTAAATTAATTTCAGCAGTTTAAATAATTGTTGTTATGGTTTTTCCTTTAAATATAAATATTCAATAAATTGTTAGAAAAAGTCAAAATGCTGGCGAAAGAGAAGACTAATACTAGACTCTATAATATGTTGACAAAGGTTTTTTAATATTGTCAAATGTGAATTAATGTTTTGAAAATACACAATTTTTTTTACTTCCAATTACTATATTTCTGTCAATATGCGATGCCTAGCAGTTATTGAAATGAATACCAATACTGCTTTCTATTAGCCAGTCCTCCAGTTCTATTTTGTAGAAATTCTTAATCATTTCTGGCGTTATCTTCCCATTTGGTCGACCAATGCGGCCAATCCCCTCGTAGAAACTCTTCCACCGATTCTGTAATAAAGAAAGAAGCTTATTTCCCCTGAGTAGTATTTAGCTTGGCATGATATTGGTTGGATTGAGATATTTCAATTGAAAGTATTGCATCATAATTTTTTCCATATTGCTGTTTACTGGTTTTGTAAGCATGATGAGAGAAGTCGTTCATGAATGTAAGGAACTGGGAAAATAGCTAGAAGTACCAAAAGTGGTATTCATTTTAACCTTAATCCTTTGTCTTTGACCGTCAAATCACTTTAGTGCTTGTTTGGCTTAGTGTAAAGCTTATAGGCCAATTGTAATGAAAGTTAAAGCTAAAAATAAAATCTCTGTCCATACTCTATACCAAAAATGTTATTTTTATTTATTTAGTAAATCAACAATAGTTCTTTCGATGCATTCCATCAGAATTATTAAAATATATTTTAACATTTTATGTATATTAAAATAAAAAAATTAAAATGAAGATATGACTTAATATAACATTATAATCTAATCTTTTAAATAACATGCGCTATCTAATCTTCAGAGCGAGCACTTCTGGGACTTACCAGCACATTGTACGTATCATATTGCTTTTAATACAAAAATGCGTGCAAAAATCCATCCGTCCGTCTGTCCGTCCGTCCGTCCGTCCGTCTGTCTGGATGAACGCCTGGATTTCGGAAACGGCTGAGCGTACATAAACCAAACTTCTTATGCAGACGCTCCTAGTCCCTAGTCTATACGAGTTTATTTTACTTTTTTGAATGGCGTAGCGTTCTCTCTTCTTCTTAAAAGCATTCGGATCAACTGCAACTCGAGTCATTGTCATGTTAATAGAGTTAACATCAATTGAATACTTATAAATGAATATTTAATACAGTTAAGAGTATATTTCCCAAAACGAGCATTAAATGAATACTGATATTATTTTTGTTTGTGGTTGCATAAATCTGTACACTGCTGCTGCGTTTCACTCCGTTTGCTGTCAGACTGCTGGCACTGCAGGCTGCAGCTGTCAACAATTGTGGGTCCGTCCCGGTGGTGGGTCAGTGGTCAGCCCCTGTGGGGTAAGATAAAAAAGTTTGCCTCGCATGGCTGTGACAGAGATGACAGCTGACAGCAAAAGTTTGCAATGCGTAAACAACGGACGGACCTCGAAGCTCGCCCGCCTCCCCAAGAGCCATCCCCCCCAAGCCGTGAGTGCTGGCCACCTGTTGTCCTGCAATGGCATTGCATAACGGAAACGGACGCATGCGATGCGATGCTTGGACGCTGGCTGGCGGAAATGTTCGACAGCATGTTGCGTTGGCCAGTCAATGGGGTGGAGAGGATATATAGAGAGAGAGTTCGGGGCTGTAGGGGAGAGGACATTTGTAAGCATTTGCCTTGCAAATTGAAGCCCATGTAAGCGCAGCGCTTCAATTATTTGGGGTAGACAGCAATTAGCCTGCGAGGAGAAGCAGGAACAGCAGCAGCAGCAGCTAAAGTTGTTTTTATTTGTTTCGATTTATTTCTGGCATCGTCGGCTTATCTTTGCTTTTTTCACTCAAACGCACAGTCTGATATGTAATTGGGAGTATGTGGGGTGGGGTGGTCAGCATATAATCAGCACAATGGCCATATTATATTACACATACGCCATGTATGGCTGGGCATGAGGGCCCCACATAACAATGCTCACGATGATGATGATGACGAGAACGAGGACAATGCTGGCAAAACATTTTAATAACAGTTTTATGTACAGCAGAAAACAATTTTTATGGATTTAATTTCCAATGTCCTTTTCCTTTTGTGTGGTCGTCGCCATGTCCTTTGTTGTTCGGTCGACTTGTGCTGTTGTCGGATACAGCAATGTCCTTTTCTAATTTCCTCAAACGTTGTAATTCAACGTATTGTGGACTGGCTTACTGGTTTACTGGCTACTTACTTATAATCACAGATAGTTATGCCATTTTAACTTGTTTTGGTTTTGCCAAAGGTTTCGGTAGAAATCCCTGTGCGTGTGTGTCTGCTTTCGGGTATTATGGGACGAAATGTGGCATTTTAAAGGCACAATCAGGTGATTCAAAAGTGTTTGCTCTCTTATAGCCCATATATTTAATTATTATAAGCAGTGGGTGTCAGTTTCTATAGACAGCTATCTTTTGTTAAAAAATTGTACCAAAAATACAATAAAAAATGTGTGCTATATTCCAATATTTTTTTATTTTATAATAAATTTCTGATAATCCTTATATACTCCTTCCAATTTATCTTGTTGGAGGTATAAATTTAAAATGGAGTGTTCCAGTTGGCGTGGCTTCGAAAATACTTAAAAAGTTATGCCAATTATAATTAAATTTAAATTTACTATGCAATTTCTAAATCAGCTTTAAAGATCCATTTCATTTGAAATTTAATTGATTAAATAAATTTTCAAAAAAATATTATATCAGATTTTTGTTAGAATAATAAAAAATTAATCATATTTATTTTAAAATAGATATATCAAATTGTTAATAAATTATTGTTTTATATTTGTTTATTATTGTATTTATATTTTTTAAATTTATTTATTGTATTTTTATTTATTATATTTTTTATATTAAATTTTATTTGGATCTTATATAAATTTTAAAATTAAATTTTAATGAATTAAACAGTCTTTTATAATTTCGTACTATAATACTTGATTTAATTTATATTCATAATTAGTTTCAATTTAATTTTCATTTCTTTTCCATTTAATTTTTTGTATTTATAACTCATTTCAATGTAGTTTAACCCTTATATGTATTTATATTTGTGTTTAATTTATATATAATTTTATTTTATTTTAATTTTATATTTATTCTTTTTATATTTTATTAAATTAATTTAAATTAAATTTTGTTTATTTGTACTTGAAATAATTTTATATTGCATTTTGTTTTTAATTTAAATTCTTTTTTTTTCTTTATTTATTACACTTTAGTTTACTGAAAATAATTTTCATTTATTCAAATTTATTGTAATTGAATGCTCAGGAAATAAACGATGTCTGTTCGCAAAGATAATTCAATGGGCCAGATTCTATAAAAAGCTTATTATATTTTTAATAAAAATGCGACTCTATTTTGAGTTCAAAATCTGTCGATCTGACATTTCAAAACACTTGCATTTAAATGCCATTTTAGCCACTTGAATGGCTTTGTCTACTTCTAACTGTTCCATTTCCTGCCTCATTGAAGCGTCACAACACGTTCGAGCAATATTTCATTATTAAAAAATAAAAATAGAAACAAAAAGTTGGAAAGTTTTGCAGGCTCTTGACTTTTGGCTGCAGGCGGAGGCGCTTAATTTTATTTTGGCACATTACACAGACTGACAAATATTAACGTCCATGCACGACTAAAAGTATGCTAAAGCAACAACAACAATAACAACAACAATGAATTATGAGTGCTGCGTGCCAGGTGTACTAAAAAATACAGGTGACAAAAATAACAACAAGAACAAACATGTTGTGTGGGCAACAAAGGCTGTGAAAATTTACACGCCTGCCGCCACGAGGACGTGCCAATAAATTTTCGCACGTTTTTCTCTGCCCACATCCCACACTCCACATCCTACGTCCTACGTCCTAGTCGCCCACACAGCCCCTCCTTGGACCAAAAAACAAAACATCAAACCTCACCCTGGGGGCCAACTTGAGAAATTGTTTCATAGATTAGCTGTCGCAGCCATGGCTTTGATTTCGTTTCTTTCCATTTAATTAAAAAAATATGCAAAGTCAACAGAAACAGAAAAACTAAAACGAAATTAAAAGCAATGTCGGCGGAGAAAACTTTTCATAAACTTTCCGCACAAATCCGTACACAGAGTGTTGCCATAAAAACAATAAAAACCGCAAAGGGCAGTTCGCACATACCCTGACCAGCATCCTGGCCAGCATGTGCCCCGTTCTAGTTGTTATCAAAATAAGCACCGAAAATTCAAATGGACAATGGTCGAGCGGCCCTTTTGTATACTCAGATGTGTGTGTGTGTGCGGACAAGACTAAATCCGGCGGAACCACATAAATTATGTTAATGCTTATGGTATGTACACGCCCACCAAGCCGAGCGTCCACCACTCGTTCAAGTTCGCAGGATAATCAGAAGAACACACAGCAACAGTCGTAGCGCCAAACGTCGAGGCTTTGTCTGCTGAAAGGACATTTGTTTGTTAGATGCTGATGGTCAGCAGCAAAAGTGGCAGGAGCGGCAGGAGTGGCAGCAACGGGCCCTGCTAGTGGTTAGTGGCTGATAGTTTTTGTCGTCTATTGAGAAAATTGCTGACAATTGCTAAAAAGCGCCACTGCTGTTGATTATGTTTGTTGTGTGTGTGTATGTGTGTGTGTGTTGGGGGTGTGGCTGAATTGGTGTCGTGGTTGGGTCGCTCCACACATGGCAGTTAAATGCTGTATCTGTCAGTATCTAATAAATAGCCTTACTGGATTGGAAATACTCGTATGTAGCAGGCATTTGTAAATGAGAGTCAAAGATAAGCTCAAGAAATAGTCAAAATAAAATACAATTAAATCGAAAGTAATAGAGAATGGATCTGCAATCTTGTAAAAAATATTAATTAACATGTGTGAAAATTACTTCCCTCTATAAACAACACAATGTTTCCAAAATTTGTATTTGTTTTTAAAAATGTAAATAAAGTATAAAGCTGAAAAAAAACACACAAAATATGGCAGTAGACAAAACAAAGAGCAAAACAATACATAAATATTTAAATAAAAATACTGAGCAATTAATGTTGAAATTGTCAGCATATTTAATAAATTAAATGTTTTGGATAATGTTTAAAAATTAATGCAATTTTCCTCATGATTAAACACCATTTTTAGAAAACTGTTGTGCCGCGCGTAAAATCTCGTTTGGTTCCAAAAACCTTGACCATTTAATAAATAAATAAAAGGCAAACAGAAAATTAAAAAAAAAAAATAATACAAAAAAAAAATTTGTAAATCGTAGACCTTTTCAGAAAATAAGTTTTCAGACTATTTCGAGGATTCAATAAAGTATTGTCATAAGTGCCTTGGAAGCTTACTTTAAAGGCAATCTAAATCTATTTTTAACTAATAAATAAAGATATTGAAAGTTATAAAAAATGCGTTAGGTTAATGCCTTTGACCTTAGTGTTAGCGGATGTTGGAGATCAGTTGGAGATCCGTTAGAAATCAGTTGGGGATCCGTTGGAGATCAGTTTGGAGAACGTTTTATTGTTCCGTTAGCAGCTTGCTTGAGGGGTTAGGGGAAATATTTCACTCTATATTTTAGAATTACCAGGGATTCTATCGCTTTGGAGTCCTTGTATTTCCTGCATCTTTCATTCGTTAAGATGCCCATCTGCTTGGCCTGGGCAGCTACTAAGCTAGGAATTGGGTAAGCTTGGGGTCTACAATAAATATGTAATGCGGGTAAAATTTTCGCACAGCACAATTTAGACTCTAATTTGTAGACTAGAAGACTTTGGGCGATCGGTTTCATATGGGTGAGAACTAGGAACGGTTAAAAATAAAGCAGTAAAGAAGTTAAATAATAAATAGAAATTAACTAAACCTCATTTTTCTTTAGTTTGTACAAGTAATCCATTCACAAGTGTGTTTTTCTTTTAGTGAAATAGTTTTTTCTTAAGTAAATAGCATCTTCATTAAATTCTCAGTAAGGGCTCTTAAAATAGATACCAGTGTTGGATTAAGAATCAATTAAAAATTAATTCACTTTATTTAGTTATTCAACTACTATTTATCTATAAATAAAATAGAACATTTTATTTATTATTCATTTATTCAACTATTCATATTATTTGTAAATAAAATGGATTTTTTTTAAATTATTATCAAGTAATTGCTTGTTTAAATAATTTCGTTATGGTTTTAACTATAATGGGTCTTCATATCGTTATGACAAACTTGAATTTTCCCTTCTTTCTCCAATTTTTCGATTAGGTGCGATAGATGCTCATATCTAGCCCAGTTATTTGTACTCTCCGGGGCATTATCTTATCGCAACGTGCAGGTTACTCATTCTGATATCATTGGTCTCTTTCGTTTGTATCTAGCTACCTGGCTCTTCACTTTCTCTTCCACGCTTCGTTTGGCTTCTCAAGGTCACAGATGCTTTCACTTGCGAGGCCATTTGTTTTTATAAAGCATACGTTGTGAGCTGTAAAATATGTGGCTCAATGGTCTAGGGGTATGATTCTCGCTTTGGGTGCGAGAGGTCCCGGGTTCAAATCCCGGTTGAGCCCGACTCGAATATTTTTTGTGAACTCTGTGCAACGACCTTGAAGAAATAAATGTTGGCCACGCTTTGCTGCGCAAGTTACAAAACGTGCAGCTACATTTGGCATTAGTGTTCAGCTTTAGGCCTCATTAAAGGCCCACTTACGTGGGTCGCAGTTGAAAGATGTCAGTTACGAGAATAACTTCAATGGGTGCAGTTGACAAAATGTGGAGACTCGTAAGTAGGCAGCTGGAGGTGGTAGGAAAGTTCAGCTCTCACCCAAGTGCTTTTAAATTTGTAGTTTCTGATGATGCTCTTGGTGGTTGGCACAGGATGCGCTGCGGAGCAACCAGAGTTAGAGGATAGTCCGACGCCACAGCCCGTAGATGCTGCAGGAGGCAGTGGGCGTTCCTTTTTCTTTCTGGGCACTTTGTTTCGGCGCTGGCGCGATCGCTGGATGGCCTTCCACAATCCGGTGCCACTCTATGCCGGCTCTGCCTATCCCATCAATGGCTACTACAATTGCCCGCCCTATGGCTGCAATAGTGCTTCCTTACCCCCCCAGCCCAGTTACTATCCTGGTGGATACTATCCTGGCGCTCTCCAGCAACAGCAGCAGCAGCAACAACAACAGCAACAACAGGCGCAAGGCAACAGCAATGTTTTCATCTATCAGAGCGATCAGAATAATCCATCAGCTGTGCCTGGCGGCTTCTATGGACCACCAGTGCCGCCGCCTCCACTCCCAGGTCTGCCTCCACCAGCGCCCCAAACACTGCCCAACTATCGGCCGCCCATACCTGGCTATGGATATGGCTGCGGACCGACCACATTCGCCTGTGCTGTTGGTTAAGTAGCGACGCTTTCTTGACGCCAACATCGAAGTCCGCCCCGTCCTAAGTAAACAACAGGAGAGGCAGCAGGAGAGGCAGCGACTGTTTGGCAACTGCCGACAGACACAAAGTAAAAGAAAACAATACAAATTTTAATTGAAAAGCGAGCAACAAAAAAGAAAGCGTAAAAGAAAAAGGGTTATATGTAAAAATGTGGCCAAAAATGAATGAATTGTCGCCACAGTAGACGCACAAAGAAAATGGACTAACTAAGAGGCAATAAGTCAATAATTCGGCTTTCATTTCTAGATATACTTGTAGTAAGCTATAATATAAGATCACAGAAGGTCTACTTAAGACACGCTAAATAAATATTATTTATTTTATAAGCAATTAGTGGCTTACAAGCTTTTTAAAATGTTACGATCCTTTGTAACTACTGATCGCTGCTTCGGAAAATTAAATACAAATATTTGTAACTGGGTGCGTTTTAAAAGGAATTTTTTTTTGAAACTTTGAACAAATTGATCCTTTTTATACCTTTTATACCTTTTTAAACGGAAAATTAAATACAAATATTTGTAACTGGGTGCGTTTTAAAAGGAATTTTTTTTTGAAACTTTGAACAAATTGATTTTTTTTATACCATTTTATTCAATCATTGAACAATCCAACTTCAAGTATAACAGTACAATAAGGATAAGCTAATCAGAAATTAAACCTAAACGAATATAAGTATGATAAGTATAAGTAGATCTAGCATGTCTATTGGCTAGAATATAAAAAGTATTAAAAGTTAAATATTCTTTAAATAGTTAAACAATAGTCACAGTTCGGAACCGAAGTTCGCCTTGTTTTCTATTTTTAAACCAATAGAAAATTTTTAGATCTTTACCTTTGCGAATTTATTCAAGCTTAAATAAAAATGCAATAATAATAATAATAATATAATATTAAAATATCCAATCCAACAGAAAATGTACGTCACTGTATTTTGTGAGCTTGCGATATTTAAAGATTCCTAATTACCTTTCGTTATTATTGTTATTATTTCTTCTTTCTTCTTCTTCTTTCTTCAATATTTTCATAAGCAACAATTTCAATTATCATGGCTGTATCGAAAAAAAGAGTTGCGATTACAAATGTATTGCAAACGTTTAATCAATTCGTTAATCTTTTAAATTATTCCCCCACCTGAGATCAAATTAAATTTTTGCTTTAAAAAACAAAATATTGTAGCTCAACAAAGAAAACAATCACTGTATTGTGTGCGTTTAAAAAATGTTTTAGATAAAGAGACGAATTTTTAAACTAAATAAGCTAGAAGTTAAATGAAAAGCAACATAAAAGACAATTCCAAATATAAGCTCCAAGAGAATATCTGAAAAAAATTTTAGAAAATTGAAGTGATTTTAAGAAGTCCCAAGCTAGAGAGAACAAAAGCTTACAGAAGGGGGTAAATGCAGCGTATTCTCTTGGCTAGAAATTTTAGTTTATGTTGAAAAAAAAAATGTTCACTTCCCAGAAACTCGAGCGGATTCACAAAACCAGAAGGTATCTTCATGCAAAAATTAACGCCAGTTGATAAGAGCAATATTGTTAAGAAAGTTAATAAAATAGAAATACGAACAACGAATATTTCTTCATTGAATTGAAATCGTTAGACATAAGATCCATTTTTGTAAATTCTATATACACTTAATTCTGTTTTTACACGGTAGATTGGTTCCAGAAATGGTCGTGAAAACATTGATCATATGCTATTTTAAATCGTGCTAAATGGAATAATTTCGTGTAACCATATACAAAATTTTTGCAAACTGTGTTAAATGAAAACCGTGTAAAAACAGAATTAGGTGTATATAAAAGATATAAACATGCTGAATGAAATTATAAAACTATTTTTCATTATTCATGAAAACTAATTAGCCAAATCGAGGGAGCAGACTCTTAATGTTAAGAGTAGTTAATAACTTGTGAAGCCTACTATAAAGATGGCCTACACATTATGCCACACATTCTCGTATGTGTGTCAATAATTGGGGGTGCAGTCCAAGTCTATGGGTCCAACACACACACTTCTACATACATATCCGTACATATGCACTTGAGCAGCTGCTTGGGCGCATTTATCCATTAACGCCAAAAAAAAAAACTCCAAACCAATCTGCATAAACAAACTCATCAACAGTAACGGCAACAACAACAACAGCAACAATAACAAGAACAACAACAACAGTATCAACAGCAACACTCGCATTTGTTTTGATTCCATCATAAACCATAAGATAGCTTCGGCTTCAGACATGCTGATGCTGATGCTGATGAAGTGGTTGAAGTTGCCGAAGGAGCTGAAGCTGAAACTGGAGTTGAAGCAGAAGCAGAAGCTGAAGCTGGTCCTGGCCCCGGACCTGGACCCGGCTGCCTGAATTGTTTGGCAAATAAAAGCCCGCAGCATAATGGATGGCTCATGGTGGTCAGTCGGCTGGACCCCGTGGAGCTGGTGGAGAGCTGCTGTTATTATTTTTATACAACTTGTGAAAATAATAATAAAGCGCTCGCTCCTGTGGGCGTTGGTCCTGGACATCGCAAATAAACAAATAGCAGCGAACGACAGTTGTATAAACAGAAGTGTGAAAGTGCAGATAGTGAGTACATTGAGGACATCTTCTCGGCCCCGTGTGTGTATTTCTGTATTTCTGCTACGACAACAATGGTAGAGTAGAGTAGCCTCCGCAACCCCCTACTCAGACCGCTGTAGTTTAAATCATATGCTGTTGAATTGTTCGTTCGGTGGTCAGGTGAGGATCTTGTTTGTCTTTGAACTGCTTCCACTGACCGGAAACGGAAATGAAACGCACAAGTTTATTCAACTAGATGCCCAAACGAAATTCTTATCGAGTTTGCCACACAAGAAGATAGGGGATGGGGGTTTCTCTTCGTTTTTTGTTTATTAATTTTCAAATATTTTGGAAGAGTTACCCATTTCATACAATATTCAAATAATGTGTGGTCAGACTGGCAAATAATTTGCAAGATTCCACCAAAATTCTAATCAAGTTTGCCACACAAGAAGGCAAGGGATAGGATTTCTTTTCATATTACTTTATGTTTTTTCAAATATTTTGGAAGAGTAACCCATTTCATTAGATATTAAAATAATGTGTGCTCAGACTGGCAAATAATTTGCAGGATTTTACTAATTATACTTTTTTGAAGTAAAATGGTTTTAACGACTACATCTCTTTTAACCAAATATTCTTGAGGTGCTATGAGGAGTTTCTAAAGTCTAGTGAAAGTCTTTGCAGTGCTTAGAAGAGAAATATAAATAAATAATACAACAAATAAATAAATAATTCAACAAGTTGATAAGCAAAGATGGTTTTAATTGTTTGATAAAAGTGTCTTATTTTAGAGAAAAATAATATTTATGATAAGAAAAGAATTTCCCACATTTTCAGAGAAGTCGTTTCAAATATAAAAGGCACATTGAGTTTTTTGGAACATGGTTTTTTTCAGTGTAGTTACGCACTCATAAATATATTTAGATCTTTACCTTTGCCAATTTATTATAATGTAATATAAATATTAAAATAGCAGATATTTTTCCTAGCCCAATTTATTTATATAATAATGGTAAATATACATATCTGAAACTTTAAATTCTGCTTAATTATATTGCATTAAAATATATATATAAAGAGGTTTACAAGTAAACAAAAATGCATATAGAATTAACACTGAACATTAAAGACAGCAGAATCGAAAACAAGAAGCATTTTGAATTGTTTGACAAGCACTTCAAAAAGTTGCCAGTAAAGAAAACTGACTGTTGCTGCTTGAAGATAACACATACAGACACACACACACACACACACACACACACACACACACACACACACACACACCACCACCACCACCAAGCACAATTAGCTGCGTATGTTTCGTTTGACCGTCGCCTACAAATTGACATTTGACAGCGGTTGCAGCAACGGGGATGTAGCTCAGATGGTAGAGCGCTCGCTTAGCATGTGAGAGGTACGGGGATCGATGCCCCGCATCTCCAGTCGAAAATAGTTTTTTTTTTTAAATTACTATTACTTTTATAAATAAAATCAAATAGTTATTTAATAAAAAAAAATCCAAAAAGCAGCAGGGCTCAACCGGGATTTGAACCCGGGACCTCTCGCACCCAAAGCGAGAATCATACCCCTAGACCATTGAGCCGCTCGATTAGCCAGCTGTTTTTTACAGTTTTATCAACATACGCGCTGAGAGATGCTAGTCTCTGTTTAAGTTTAACACATTTAACTATATTTACATTTTCTTTGTTGCTTTGCATTTTAATTCAATATAAAAAAAAGAAGATCCAATGTTTGGAGATGCGGGGCATCGATCCCCGTACCTCTCACATGCTAAGCGAGCGCTCTACCATCTGAGCTACATCCCCATGCGGAAGTCGCCCAAAAATTGAACCCAAATTTGCAAACATTTTGCAGATAATTATATGCAATTCTTTTTTTTAATAAAATCAAAAATGAGCAACAACGTAAAACTAACAAATTCATTAACATACTATGAAATAAATATTTGTGCGTTTTTTTTAAAACCAACAATTTAACTGAGTTTAACCGAGGTAGCCGCCATAACCACCGCCATAGCCGCCTCCGACGCCAGGATAGCCACCGCCATAGCCACCTCCAATACCGGGATAGCCACCACCATAGCCGCCAAAGCCGCCAGGATAGCCACCGCCGCCATAGGAAGGCACCGGCACGGGCACATATTGTGGTGGTCCTTGATACGCGTTGTTGCCGCCGCCGCCAAAGAGGCCTCCCAACAGATTGCCGAACAAGCCGCCGGGACGGCCACCACCACTGTTGCCACCAAACAAGCCGCTGATTGCATTCAGTCCAATTATGCGATTGTCCACAGTGGCGCCACTCTCACCAGCGCCAGGAGCGGTGCCAGGAGCGGGGCCTTGCAGGCCGCTGCCCGCCTGTTGCGGATACTCATACTGGGCCCAACTGGGGGCGCAAAATGCGAGAAGCAAGAGAAACTACAAAGGAATTAATTGCGGGGCTTCAGTCAAAGGAATACCAGGACTACTTACACTCAGCGAACACTTCATCATCATGGAATAGCTATTGTTGTTTCTGCGTTCTGTCAACGACTTGACTGTCTGAATAATCACGCTCGGAGATTTGTGTTTATATAGCACAGAGACCAAGTTCTCAGATGGGAGTTCGCCCACGCATTGCGAACTACGGAAACCGCTAGAATGCTAGCGAAATGAACGAATGAACGAATGACCTTAAACCCCAGTTTGAACGCATTCAATGTTTTTCTCACGTCTTTGCTTTAGTTACTGCGACTAACTTGGCCAAATCTGAATCTGAATATTGATTAATTATTCTATTCGTCATATTGTTTTGTCACAAATCGTAAATGCGTTGAGTTGCGATGCTGCCGGCCGGTTAGGCCGGTTTCGAGTTTCTTGAACTCCCGCTAGTTTGTTGCTAAAAGGAAGTTCAGGAAGTTAGCGACTCGGTTATAAAAGTCAGAACACGCCTCAGCCGAGCATTACTAAGATATTGACAAGATGCGGAATATGGTAAGACTGCCCTTAAGATTCGCTCTGCAGTTTTTATTGGTAATCTGGTATTTTGTATAAACTCTAAAGTTAAAGGTTCTGGTACCAGTGCTGTGTCTTGGATTGGTCCACGCCCATGGATTTGGTGGCAAAGGTGGCGGCTATGCGTTCCCAGTAGCCTATCCCGTTGCACAGCCCGTTCCGCTGCCAGTGGCCATTCCTCAGCCGGTGGCCGTGCCGGTTCCCAAGCCTGTGCCCGTCCCGGTTCCCCAGCCGATTCCGTATCCGGTTGCTGTGCCACAGCCGGTGGTGGTGCCCGTGCCGATTAAACACCATCACCACGGCTGGAAGGGAGGCGGTGGTTTTGGTGGCGGCTTCTCAAGCTTCAGCGGCGCTTATCAGGGCTTCTCTTCGTTTGGCGGTGGTGGCGGCTATGGCGGTGGTTACGGCTGGGATAAACGTTAGCTGGAATAATACAAGTATTGCTTTTTAATTATTTAGATTATATATTAAATTTATTTAAAAAAGAAATCAAAAATTTCTAATCAATTATATAATTAAATAGCATTCTAGATTTGTGTGATAGGAATTGTAAAAATATCAGGGAGTTTTGAAAAAAATGTGGAGGTTTAATTAAAATATATATATATATAAATTATGAAAAAAGAAATTTGAGAATGGGAGACGATAGTAACATTACTTTACATGCCTAGATGTAGATTTTTAAGCACACTGCGTTATAGTTCTTTGGGCTTTTCTTCAAAATATTTAAGTAGATCTTCATAAATAAACATCATATATAAAACAACATTTTTGTATTAAAATAAAATAGTTCTGTCGTTTGAAAAAATTGCATTTAATATAATATTGAGAGTAGAAAACACAAAGCACTTTTTAAAATATAATTATGCTTCTTGCTTCTTCTGATAAGTAAAATAAAACAGATTAAGTCGATTGTGACAGATTGAAATATTGAACTACAAAACTAAACTTGAATTGTACATATTGAGAAAAATATTTTTGTTGCCAATCGAACTAAATATACAACTGTGGTAAAATAATATTACTGTTATAAGTATCTGTCTTTAACAATGTGATCTATCTATAAAAATAAAAATAGATAGAAATAAATAGAAATGGGTTCTAAATTATAAATAATTATAATTATAAATAATTGTAATTATAAATAATAGCACTAGTAAGGACATAGCCAGGATTTCATTTGTGGGGAAATTATCGAATCAAATGAAAATGTGCTCATATAGTACTATATGGTAAAAATTGAATATTTATCTGCAAATATTTGAAAAATTGGTGGGTCAAAATGTAAATCCAAAATAAGTAGAAAGAAAGAAATATTGAAAAACATTACTTAATATCAGCTATTCATTAAGCAGCAATTTATTAAATATTAAAATTAATAAAATAAGAACTTGTGTTCAACTAAAAAAAAAAACCAAAATAAATCGGATATGTTTCCGCCCGGGTTCGAACCGGGGACCTTGTGCGTGTGAAGCACACGTGATAACCACTACACTACGGAAACCTCTTGCCATGTGGAACCTGAATACCAAACACATGAAAACACTAACTGTATATGCACGTGTTGCTAGTTCAATTGCGAACGGATAGGTGGCGTTATCGTTCCATGTCAAATAAACGTACATGTTGGTTTGTGTATCTGCTAATTAAAATTATCACAATCCAGGAATAGAAATAATGCACAGCATTTCGTCAAGTTGTTATTCCAAAAAAATCATGTCCAAAAACTAATTTTTAAAAAAAAACCGTTGAATTCTGTTTATTTCGTTTTCTTTATTTCATTTCATTTGCAGATTTTTGATACAAACAATGGAGCAGGTTTGAATTTTCCAAAACTGCTTCAGTCAGTCAGGACAAACAGTTTTATATGTGTATATATAAGTATATAGAAGTACATTCAATAAGTTTATATGACAAATGCGCTTAAAACTAATTAACAAACTTTGACATTCTAATGGCAATGAATTTTTATTTAGCTACAGGCAAGGACGATGGTCCTTTACTTGCCCCAAAGACCGCCGCCTCCACCAAAACTGCTGCCGCCGCCGCTGTAATGGCTCTCATGGTGGTATTCGTGATGTTCGTAGCCGTGGCTGCCGCCGTAGCCACCGCCAAAGCCACCACCGTAGCCGCCGCCTATGCCGCCACCGATTCCCGCATGCAATCCCACACCGCCATGGACGCCAAGTCCGCCTCCGCCGCCGCTGAGTGCATGTTTCAGACCCAATAGCTTCGGTGTGCGCACCTTTAGACCCACAAAGCCGGCATGGGGACCCTTGAAGGCCAGCAATTTAATTTTGCCGGCTGAAACGAGTTGGCAACAGACCAACAATCCCAAACATATGCCCAGCAACAGGAGCGGGTTGTGTTGCTGTGTGGATGAAAATAAAAAACAACTTGTGGTTATATAAGCAACAAAGTTATGGTCGGACAGGTGAGTTATTTGTAAACAAATTCAATCATTTTATAAGTATGTCATAATATTAATAAATAAAAATAAAATGCTGCAAAAATAGGGACATCACTAAACATATTAAAGCTTTCTTTTCCTGCTGCATCTATTTTAATAATGAAATCATTTTCTTCAATGCGGCTTCTTTTTAATGTGAAGAAGACGATCTGATTTAGACTGGACTTAAAACTATCAATATATATAATATATCATATCAATATATCATATTTGAATTAAAGTGCAGGGCTATTGAGTTATTGTTCATATAAATATTAAAATGGTCTGAATTAAGCCAAAATATAATTAATGCAATAAATAATGTGTAATATAAATTTCTATGCTGAATTATTCCAATTATTATTATTATTATTTCTTTTATTAATTATTCGTTTGCCTAAATAAATTATGTTTTTATACTTTGGGAAAAAATTCATAACTTTTTAAATAAAAACTTACGAAAACATAAAAAGACCACTTATGAAATATTTTTAAAAATTTAAAAGTATTTTTTTAAAATACATTTTTGTTAACAATTGCACTTTATTTCACTTCTTTTTAAAGAGTACTAAAATATAATATTTAAACATTTCTAGAAATTAATTTATTAATTTTCCTAAGCTATTCGTTATGAAATGTCTATTTAGATACAAATTTTTTAAAAATTGTTTAAAAACAATAAATAATATAAAATCTAAATAGAAAGGATTCTAAATTTTATGAAAATTGAAAAATTTGCTTTAAAGAGTTCAAAAATATAATATTTAAACATGTCTAGAAATAAATAAATTATTTTTTCCTAAGCTATTCGTTATGAAAAGTTTATTTAGATATAAAGAGTTTTTTGAGATTTTTAAAAATAATAAATAATATAAAATCTAAATTTTTTGGAAATTGAAAAATTTGCTTGAAATTTTACGGCAAAATATATAGAACAAATTTTAAAATATCTAATAGAGTCCACTATTGAGAGGATTTCCTTTTCCTTGTCTAAAAAATAACTTTGCATTACAAAGAATACTCTAGAAATAGCATTGAAAAATAATTCCAAATACTGCAAATAATCAAAATTTCCTATTTAGTAGATTATGAAAACGTTTTCTTTGCACAAAACAACACACAAATTGCCTTAAAAAATAAATAATTTTACAAGCATTTTCAATAATAATGTACAACATATAAATCTGTTTGTTGAACCGCTTATAAATTATAAAATGTTTTTAAATTATTTCAATTACACTCACAATAATTCGCATGTTCACTTTCTATTATTCACTTTGCGATGGTTGGGGATTTAAAAATTTTATGTGTTTGGATTTTTTTTCAAGTTCAAATTTTGAAAACTCTTGTCCAAAAGTTTGTGGTTTTCGTCTTTTACGGCTCGGACCACGCGCGTCTTTCAATTAAAGCGTCTGCGCGCCGAATCTCTGGTTTTATGTCGCTCATTGTTTGGATCGGCATATAGCCCTTATGCAATCGCAGTTGCTGTTGTTGTTGTTTTATCTGTTGTTGTCAACTCCAGCTTGTGGTTTTTTGTAGATTTCGCTTTCGGCATCTTTACTTTGCCCCTGAAAATGAAATCAGGTTTTCAAAAGATTCAGACTCGATTGAGATCAATGAGTGACGCACACAACAACAACAAACCGCTCGAGGAGAGAAGCATATGAAAGCTGAAAGCCAGAAAATTATTAAATTATAAAAATTAAAGAATAGCTGAAAAATGGGCTTTGTATGTCAAAATTGTTTGCTCAGAAAACATATTTCTAAATGATGCAAATAATTTCTTAAGAGCGCTTTTAAAAAAAGAGAAAATGCATTTTTCTGCAAACATATTGCAAATGGAGATAATGTGTATTTTAATCTGCTTTAAATATATTTTAAGACTCCGATTTTATATTAATTTAAAGAATTAATTGGTTCTTTCCGGGCATATTCCTTAAAGATATTTTAGAAGAAATTAGTTTCTGATTATAATAGATAATTATAATCATTGTCTCAGGCACATGATATTGCTGTTTTTTTTTTTTTGGAAGCAGCAAATGGAAGATTTTCATACAGATCTGGCGGTCCTAAATATTAAACGACCTCTAGAAATTATGTACATGCAGATAAAAATCATGCAGATTTTGTAAGCTGACAAACAATTGGCAGACTTGGACCTAAATTTTGTTTAAAAATTGAAGGGAACAAGTTCTAATACACATTTCTATAAAACTTCTTAATAAAAACAAGTAATCACTAATTCGAATGGCAGATTAATTATTAACCTCTAAAAAGAAATACAAACATTTAACTAACATATTTATGAAACAGCTTTAGTACATTTCAACTATTTTTATATAAAAATATGCATAAATTATGCTCTCAATGAATAAAACCTAAGCCGCAATGTTTTAACTCAAAATCCTATGCAAATAGTTAATATAAAAAGCAAGAAAAATCAATCAATAATCAAATGAATCAGCACTAAACATATTTGGGAATTTACGTTTTATTGACCTCCAAACAAACATCAACATCAACAAAATGCTGATGCTATGTTAAAACTAAACAAATAGAAAAACAAAATTCCAGCACTAAAAAGTCAAACACACACACATACACAAACTTTTATGCAAATTTTTTGTCGACAACATGTGCAGCGATATATTTAATAATTGGCCAGTTTGTACGAAAGTTTTTTAACAGTTTTCTATTTGCAAAAACACGCTTTGAAGAATTTATCGCTTAAATAACAGCTTACGAGTGGGTGTAGCAAAAAGTATTTATAGTGCAAAATAAATATTTATATATATAAATTATTATATAAATATAAATACTTGCTTATTTATAAATATATATATATATATATATATATATATATATATATATATATATAGTTTATGTACTGTCCTATAGAATATAAACAAAACGCAAAGCACATTTATTTAAGAGAAGTGCCCGGGAATTGTAATAAGCTAGTCATAGTTTTTAAGTTTTTTGCAAAAAGTTGGTATCTTAGGAAAAATTCAAAAATGTCCACAAGAAATTTTTGTATGGCAACCATTTTTTGCAGATTTGTTATCTTTAACTTAGAGAAATTAATCAAGCATTTATCAGCCGAAAGCATTAATAAGTTGGAAGCTAATTTATGAGTTTCATATTTTTTTGCATATTTATTAATCGAATTCTTTTTTGAAGAACTTTCTGAGGCAATTTTTACTTTAAAAAACTATAATGATAATGATAGAAATTTAAGCCTGTCTAGTGAACTGACTAAAAAGAAAATGAAGAAATCTTTTAAAAATCCTAAAATAGATATAAAAGAATCTTCAAAAGAGGAATACCACTTAATTAAAAGTTAATTAAACATAAATTTGTGGGCATTGTTTTGTCTTCTTAAAAGTGCTTATTAATTTTGTATTTTGTAGATAGTCCTTAAGTTCTTCTGCTAACAAAATTCTTGTGCGATTCTTCAAACAAAAAAGAAAAAAATGTTTATAATTGGATTATTTAATAAATAACTACTCGGCCTAAATATTTTTCAGAAATTCAAATCTAGCTCTAGACTTGCATAATTACATCAATTGTTTTATAAATTATAGCACTAGTCACCTTGTTAGCCGTCGAACTATAGTAATTATTATTATATTATTATATCCATTATCTCCTACTTGCCAAAACCATAGCCAAAGCCATACGGATTTTGATAGCCCCCTCCATAGCTGCCATAATTTCCGTACTGGCTGTACTGATTATATTGCTGTTGATATCCTCCATAGCCGCCAAAAGCGCTGGCCCATCCAAAACCAGGTCTGCCAAAGCCCTGATAGCTGCCAAAGCTATTGCTGCTGCTGCTGGCTGCCGCACTAGATGCTGCAAATCCCCCCGAACCAGCCCCATAGCCGCCATAGCCTCCATAGGGTGCATAGCCGCCCCATTGTGGTGCACCGCAGGTGTAGGCGGCTAGAAGCGACAAAATTAAGGATACTCCAAGTGTCTAGAATAGCGAATGCGTTTAAACAATAAACATAATTAAATGTTAGATTCACGAACTTACGCGTAAGACCATCGCGAAAATAATAACTGAACATTCTTGGCAACAGCTAGTGGCCTTTTATTGAAGAACTTGAAGGCGGAAATCAAACAAATAATTACAGCATATGAGGTGATTACTAGAATTAACTTTATAACCTGATAATTGAAATAATTATAGGAAAGCTGAGTTGAAGATTTGTATAAAAAACTTCTGTTTAGAATGTTGTGTGTCATTCGAACATTTTGTTGCTTCTACAGATGTTTACAAGTACAAATTTTGAAATACTTCGCACTTTAGGAAAGTTGTCTTTTTTCCTAAATGATTTCACATCAACTGATAAAGGAATAAGCGAACGATTATTGATTTTGAATTGACCGATTTAGAACAATGTAGTGAGCTGACGATATATGTCTTCCATTAATAGTCTTACACGTTCATAGGAATGTGTGATGCTATGCAAATAATTTTGCAGCTTCAAATACAAGTTTCTTATTTCGTTTTAAATCATATTCTTTTTAAATCTATTAATTAATTAATTAATCTAGTGCTTTTAGTTTATAAAACTTAGCCTATTGGAATTTGATGGCATATGTTTACGAAGTTATGCCAGAAAAGTTGCTTATGTGTTCTTGCAATCGAAACTAAAACCGTTACAATAGATGTTCATCTACGGGCTCTTCAGTAGCTTCCTCTTTTTCAAATTCTTCAGCAGCTTTCTCTTTTCTAAGTTCTTAAGTAGCTTTGTATTCTTGAGGTGTTTCCCCTAAGAGGTTCTTCAGTACCTCTGTTGCTTCATCTTCTTCAAGAGTTTCTTCTATAGGCATATAAGTAGCTTCCTTTTCTTCAGGTTCCTTAGTAGCTTCTCTTCTTCAGGACATTCCACTTCATATTCATTTCTGCAGTTAAGTCAGTAGCTTAATCTTCTTCAGCAGCTTCCTCATCTTCAGGTTCTTCAGTAGCTTTGTCTTCTTTAGGTTCTTAAGTATCTTTGTATTCTTGAGGTGATTCCCCTAAGAGATTCTTCAGTAAATTTATCTTCTTCTTCTCCTATATCTCTGTTGCTTCATCTTCTTCAAGAGTTTCTTCTATGGGTATATCAGTAGCTTACTTTTCTTCAGGTTCCTTAGTAGCTCTCTCGTGTTCAGGACATTTCACTTCACAACCACTTCTGCAGTTAAAACAATAGCATAATCTTCTTTAGTAACTTCATCTTTTTAAGGTTCTTCAGTAGCTTCCTCTACTCCTCAACTGAAGATTTTCATTTAGTGAGATATTATTACCTTTTATCTCCAAATCATTTATAACCTTTCTATATAAGATCATAGACTTATAATATAAACAAAAGTTTCATTCGCAGTCAACGTCAATGAACGACAAAAATATTTCTCTAGAAAATCAATGCGTTACGCCCTATTGCTGATGATTTTGGCACTTCAGATTTTGTTTACTTCTCTAATAGCTCAATAGTTGTAGTTTTTTCCGCTTGCCATGTCTATTATATTCACGATGTGGGTGGGTAATTATGTTCCGTGCTGACGTCAGAGAACAAACGAACAAACAAATAGAAGAAGAGGTGAATAAACTGCGAACGAAAGTGAAGGCATGACAAATGGTTACTTGGTGTTACTCGCAGAATAAACACAGTGAGCATTCAAACAGCACATCTCATCACAGTGGATCGTTAGATCTTTAACAACAACAATAACAACTAAACGACAAGTGATAATGAGCGAGCAAAATAAAATTTACCCCAAAAAAAAAAAGAAAACAAGTAAAAAAGCTAAAGTCGGGTGTCCCGACTTTGAAATACTCTGTACATATGTTTACAATAATTATAGAAAATAAAAAAAATTAAGAAAATAAAAAAAAAAATTTGATCTATTTTACCTCTCTCGGTATTCGAACTCACGTAAAGGGTGTATAATTGCACATTTACATAGCAATTGCGTCTGTGTGAGTGTATGTATGCCTATGCGCATCAATTCGTGTCTGTGTAAGCATTTTCGCAGTCAACCAAACAGCAACATCAACAACAGCCGCGGGCAGCGCTTGAGCAGCGCTGCAGCAGCGCTGCATTAGCAAATATATTTATGGCTATAACTTCTTGTTAAATCGGTCTATCATAATGAAATTTGGCATACGGACACATAATAACTAACTGGGGGTATTTCCAAAGTTTTAGTTCGAAATTCCAAGAATTACGGGAGTTACGATTTGCGGGGTAGAGGGGGGAGGGAGGGGAATTCCAAAATATACATTTTCTGCGTATTCACATAAGGCATCTGGGACTAAAATTTGGTGTTCCTAGGTCTTATAGTCTCCGAGATATAGGCGATTATACGAATGGAAAATCGGGAAAACCCCCATAGGGGGGAAGTGGGGGGGAAAATCAAAAAAATAAAACAAACTCGTATAGAATACACACATAACGCATCTTCGTGCAAAATTTGGTGTCTCTATCTCTTATAGTCTCTGAGATCCAGGTGTTCATACGGACGGACAGACGGACAGACGGACAGACGGACAGACGGACAGACGGACAGACAGACAGACAGGGCTAGATCGACTCGTCTCGTCATGCTGATCAAGAATATATATACTTTGTGGGGTCTGCCACGCCTCCTTCTGCCTGTTACATTTTTCAGCTCCCGCAAACCTAATATACTCTTGTACATTTCATGTACAGAGTATAAAAAACGTGAAAAAGACGCTCATGCTTGGCTGCACGTTCTGAGCAAAAGTTTGTTGCCAAAGTCTTTTGTTTTTTGATCACTTATTGTATTTTGTTGTTGTCGTTATTATTATTATTATTGTTGTAAATGGATTTTTGTTGTACGTGCATGCACGTTAAATTAAAGACATCCACAGTGGGATGAAGCTAACATTGTTGGAGTTACTTTTTTTATGAAAACTAAATTCCTTTTTTTTTTAAGACTTGAGGAAACAAATATTGCTATCTACTAGAATTTAGTTTGCTGTTTGAGTGCATTTTTTTTAGTTTCATTTGACTCATTTTTTGGTGAAAGTAAGAAGGAAATGTTAGTGGAAGAGTTAATGTTAGTCGAGTAGCATATTGTAGTTATTTGTGTTTTTTATAGTTGGATTGGAGATTAAAGGTACATAGTTCATTAAAAATAGCTTCAATAGCTTCCAATTCTAAATTTGTTTAAGCACTTTGCAATTATAAATTTTTAGATGTCATATATTAAATATATTCTATTTATATAGAATTTTATATGTGGTAAATAAATTATGGCCAATGATCAGTTTTTCAACCACTTTCTGCTCATTTTAATCACAAAAGCATTACTTCTCTTCGATATCATTCAAAAATAGTTAAAAAATATGAAAAATTGGAAAATCAGTTAAATATCTCAAATATTAATGTTTCGCATAAAGCTGATTTTTATTTTTGTTATATTTATTTATTTTTTGTATACATATACGTGTTTGATTTAACTCTTAGAACAAATTTTTATAGGCGATGCTTTCATTATCATTATTGTTTACATTGTGGCTACCAGCAAAGGTCAAAATATACGTTACAATTGACACCTCAAACGTAAAAAAGTATAAAAAAAAATTAACAACAATTAAAAAAAAACTTAATACTTTTTTACATGATTTTTTATTGATGCAACGTTTTGTTTTTGTTAACAAAATATTTGTATTGTATTTTATAAATAAAATATGTATACAGTAATGGCTATAAAATACATACTTGTATGTATATAGTAGATTTTAACTTAACTTACAACCAAAAAAAAAAGCTTAACAAATTCTTGGAGTTTTCCAATCCACTGTGCGACCGCAGCGCTTAATTTTGTTTGGGTTTTTCTTTTATTTTTCGTTGGTGATCTTGATCTTCAGCAGAGACTGCGACTGCGACGGCGACTGCGGACCTGCCTTAACCCTCAACCAGCTTGATTTTTGACAATCACACATTTACAGAGATGGACAGACAGACTGACAGACTTCTGAGACTTGAGCGCTTCCGTTCGCCAGCCAGCCAGCCAGCCAGCCAGCCAGCCAGCCAGTCAGCCGCATAGCTAGGGACGGGGTATTCCGAGATGTCGTCACAAACTGGTTTGCTTTTCGGTTTGTTCTGCAATTTGCGTAGAAGTACTTGAAAATGCGTGCCGCGTACCGCTTCTTATTGGTAACGTTCGACTATAAAAAGGCAACGCCAACGGCAATTGCAATTTAGTAACGCAATCGCAACTCTATAGCAATGAAGTCGATGAAGCTCAGTGTAAGTGACCATCTACCTCAGAACTAAGACACCGCTTAACCCTTTACTTTACATTTAGTTTGCCACACTGCTCGTCTTGCTGGTCTGGCAGGCGAGAGCGGCGCCAGCTCCATTGCCCGGCAAGGCTGAGGGTCGCACCTTTGGGCTTCTGGGCAGCGGCGTCGGCTTAAGCGCCGGTGTGGGCCTCAATGCCGGACTCTATAGCGGCTTCGGCGGCGGCTTGGGCGGCGGCTATGGCGGTGGATATCCCGGCATTGGTTACGGCGGTGGCTACGGTGGCGGCTACGGTGGCGGCTATGGTGGCGGTCATCATCATCATCACGGGGGACCCGGTTATGGTGGCGGCGGTTTCTATCCCGGCGGTGGTTTTGGCGGCGGCTTCTATCCCGGCGGCTATGGCGGTGGCTACAACAGCTATGGCGGCGGCTCCTATGGCGGCCAATACAGTCAGTCCCAATACGCGAATGGATATTATGGTGGCGGACACGGCTTCTTCGGCTAATAGGCCCAGCTAATCAGACTGTGATTGTTTCTGTTTTAATTTAAGTTCTAGTTTGAGTTCGCTGGCTTGCCACAAATATACGAATTATAGTAGATTACACAAAATCCGGTTTCATTGTCCTTCTCCACAGCTACTATACTTGTATACCATAAGTGCTTATTGTTGCCTGACAAGCGATCTTCAATTTGTGATTTGTTTGCGCTTTTATGACTTAAACGCGACACGCATAAATTAAATAAGCCAGCGGTCCTCAGAGCAGCATCAGATTTATGCCAACCCAAGGCGTGACTAATAAAAAGACCCACCGTTCTGGCATTAACTCATATTTATGGCGAAACGCTCTATTTGCAGAACAAATTGCAAATTGCGTAATATCAACTGAATTTTTGTAGCCACCAGTCACTCGTCTTGTCATATTTGAATTATTTATTTATGTGCCAGTACTCGGGGGAATCTGTCAAAAGTTTAGTTAAAGATCGAATTGCATGGAATTATCAAATTAACTGCATTTCCTAATCTAGTTAGCTCTAAAAATATTTCCATATTTCTACGCCATTTTCTAAATTAGTCGAATTTCATTTATACATTATCTCGACTGTCCAAAAACTAGCTTCCAATCTAGAGATTTTTATATCACCTACAAATTTCCACTGCATTTATTTAATAAGCACTAGGTTGGTCTTTCTTTAGAAGATTAGATTTACAATTGAAACAGATCTGCTCTTCACATCAGGTACTTATGAAGTGAAGGGCCTTTATTCTTTCCGATTCATCGAATTTGAAAAAACTATTTTTCAAAATTATAATTAAATTATTCAAAATCCGTATAAGCCGTATTTCATGCTGAGAATGTTCCGAATTAAAGGAACTGATTTTCTATTTCTAAAGCCAGCTCCAAAATTATCTTATTCTATCAATAATTTTAAAACATTTAAGGAATTACAATATAAGATTTCTTAAAGATAAGCCGTGAATATTAAATCCAACTCTATGTTCTAAGAAACACAGCAGTGTTATTAAAAAATTTAATTACAAATTTGACAAGTTTGTGTGCAAATTATTTGTTTGTCAGACAGACAAACAATAATTAGGCAATTATCTTCAGCTTAATTGTTAAGCCAAACCCCTAAAGTTTAATAAACTTTCGACAATTCAAACGATTTTAAGCGAACATTCTGCTGATGTTCAGTAAACTACGGACATGGTCAAACAAGCGAATGATTTGTAAACAAACACTGGAAAAAGTACTTTTACTATTTCTTATTGAAATAACATACAAGTTGAAAGAATCGGCGAGGTTTTAAGCAAATGATTTGCTCATACTAAATAATAATAGATCAGTTCAGAAAAAGTTTTCACAAATAGTTTGCCAACAAATTTATCAGATTTTTCAAATAACTTCAAAACAGTTTGTTTTAGGTAGAAGAAAATTCTCTTTTTATTTTATTTTGTTTTTTAAGCAAATGATTTACTCATACCAGATAATAATAATTAAGTTCAGATAGGCGAATAGTTTGCCAACAAATTTATCAAATTTTTCAAATAACTTCATATCAGTTTGTTTTAGGTAGAAGAAAACTCTCCTTTTGCATAGAATTTTTATTGTTTTTTGAGTGAATACTTATATATGTATGAAAAATTATACAATTTGATGTGCAGATTATTTGCTTGTCTGAACATAGCATTATTTGTCGTCAGGAATAAGTTGAAATAACAAGAAATAAGCCTCATCAGTTTCAAATGCCTTTTAAGTTCAGAATATTTTTGAAACAATCAACTAGAGTAGAATCAAAAGCAGCTTAATATATGGTTCGTTTCTAAAACTAACCACTTAGTAAATACATGTTGCTTATATTTTAAGTTGCCAGAAAGTAAACCAAGTCTCAACTGGGTTGGCTATTTATGTAGAGATTATAACATACAAAGCTACTATATATTAAATAAAGTGCCAACGGAATCCTAACTAATCTACATACTAGACAATCACTTAGCCGTAGCTGCTGCGCTGCCGATAGGCACCAGTCTGGTAGACGGGCTGCACTTGACCCGTCAGTTGCTGAATAATTCCATTGACCGTCTGACTGATGCCGCCCACAAGCTGTCCGGGCGTTACGGGTGCCTGCAGGGATCAAAATTATAATCAAAGCATTGAAATGATGAGCTTAGCTGCTAACTTACCGCCCCGACTGAGTCGTAGTAGACCCGATTGGGCACCGGTCGCTGCACAGGCGCTGGGGCTACATAGTTGGGATCCACTGCCGGATCGCTTTGCGGATCTCCGGCTACGGTGGGACGTATGGGACTGGCCAGAGGCACGCCGGGAAGGGTGGCACTGTTTAGCAGACCGGGCGCAAAGAGCGAAAGCCAAGTGGCCAGTGGTGCGTAGGGACGCACCGGCACTACCGGTATTGGTGCTTGGGCGACCGGATCGGACAACAAGCCGCCGCCACCACCAAGGAGGCCACCACCACCCAGGAGGCCACCCCCGCCGTAACCCCCATATCCACGACAACCGTTGTAAGCTCCACCACCCGGGTACACATTATACACATTCAGATCGAACAGAAAGCGTCCTTGTTCCACCTCAGCGGCCTGCTTGCCATTGGCACTACGGCCGAAGGGCAGACAAGGATTTCCATAGCCACCATAATGGAGTTTGTTGCGCAGCTTCTTCTTAAGCAGCAACGACTTGGCGTCGCTATCATCCGCATTCAGATCATCCAATTCCTGATTAGCTAGCCCCGTAAACTTGGCATTCTCCTTATCCGCTTTGCTCTGTCGATTATAGAGATTGCTGTGGTACCGCTGATAGACGTCGTTGTTGCCCGCAGAGCTCCTGTACGCGGGCTGTCGTCTCTCCCTCTTCGGATAGTCGTAGTAATAGCCGCGCGGCGCGCCTGCGCAGAGACTGAGCAGACAGAGCAAAAGCAGCGCAGCTCCAATCCCATGACAACGCCAATGCATTCTCCACACTCTCTAAGGACACTCTTCGTTTTATAGTTCGGTATATCGTTTCGAGCTTTTCGTTATTTAATATTTCGTGACACCTCTGCTTCGAACGCGTGATGGCAACGCACTACGATGGTAGTTTGATGCACGCCCCAACTTATCACCTTCGGTGCCCCAACGATTTGCCGCCGCCAACAACTACAGCAAATTTGGCGCATTTGCAAAAACAAGCCAACCAAGATAAAATAGCAAACAACGGCGAAATGCTAAAACGACAACAATCCGAAGCTGTAATACGCTACAATACTCTTTACACTCTAAGAGTGTTTAAAAAGAAAATGTTGTGGCTCGTCATAGCAAGAAAAAAATATAGCTGAGCTTGGTCAGCTGACTTTGCGACTGTCTGTCTCTCTGTTCGACTGTATGAACCTCTATAACTTTTAAACTATAACCGCTAGGTACACCTAACTTAGTATGCAGGCTTGTTTTAACGATATGTAGAGCAAGTTAATTACAAATTATATAGAGCGTCAGTACTTTTTATAGCTGCTATGGGAATGATGCCAAATAAATGACTTTTTTGATTTTTTGATCGCAAGCAAGCCGCAAAAACTTATACACACTACTATTGAAATCGTTTATATTTTGGAACAATGTGGTTTAGTCCTCGTTCTAATGAGAACTGCTAATACTGGTTATGAAAACTCATTCTTTTAATTTATAAAGAAGCAACAGGAATCTGATTAAATTGTAGGTTTTAAGGATACGGTGTTGTAAAAGAATGCTCGTGCTACGTTCCTCAAGTAGATTTAGTTTGCTTAAGAAATCAGTACCGCTCCAACTCTATTGAATTAAAAAATACTATAAACACTAGAAGAACTAAGAACTGAAAGACTCTAAGAAGCAGCCGACTTTAATAGCAAATTGAATATACTCTTTCAGAAGAGTGTACAATTAGTTGCTGCCAGCATTAGTTGCTTTTCCCTTAGAAGGCACTCGATTGCATAATGCCCTTTTTATTGGCTTCAATTTGTTGTTGTTGTTGTTTTCCAACGCATTGTTTTGATATGCTAATAATGGGCCGCCCACCCGTGCGAACGCGAATTCGTCAGCGCCAACACCATCATCAGCAACATCATGGAAACCGAAACATGTTCCAGTCGACGACTCTTTGTGCATTGACCTGTGCCTAATAATGCTACCAAACAGACAGACAGACAATCAACCAGCCAGCCAGTTACACGCTTGGCTTTTTGGGCAAAAATGAAAACCATTTTGCCAAATTTGTGCCCCACAAGAAATGTGGGTCAGGGTCGTGCGACTGGCTGGAAACAGAGGCGGCCGAGTTAAAATCTCAGGCAACAAATTAATTGAAGATGTGGTTGCCAATTTCCTGACTAATTCTCTTTATTTGGTAGCCAGAGAGACCCGCACTTGTCAGCTCATAAATTATTTTAGCTATTTTTAGTTCACAACATGATTTACTTTTTAAAACTATTGTATTGTATGAGTCAAAATATGTTTCCAAGTGAAAATGTAAGTTAACGTATAGCTGTATCATACATTTAAATATCTTTACTTTGGTTGAATGATTTTACTATTTCATATTGTTACTAAATATTGATGAAACTTCATTGGAAAATAATTAAATTTATTTTCAAAATTATTAATTGAATGCATTCGATTAGCTTACTATAGCTGCCAGAGCATGGAGAAACGTTACAAGTAAAATTTATTCTAATCTTTAACTTCAACAATATCTAACGATTGGTTGAGGAAAGGTTTGTCAGGATTCAGAGTCAAATGTAGTCATAAGGCAATGCTAGACCATAGAGTGCTATTCACGATAAGCCTACCCGCACCTCTATCGTCCTCAGCATCTATTGAACTTCTTCTCGAACATCACCTTCATTAGCTTTGAAGCCCATTGAGTTCCGATAATATGTGATATATATGTATATATTCGCAGCACCTTCCTCAACAACTCCATTGAGACATTTCATCTTAAAAATGTAAATTTTGAAAAGCTACAGTTCTCTCTGGCATTCTTTCTTATGATTCATTATAATTATGCAATTTTTTTGAAGCATAATTGAATATTAAAACACTTTCTCTCAATTGAATTAATTTTCATTAACGTTTTGTAACTTTCTTCAAGGCACTCTCCAAACCCACAATAAATTAAACAATCATTTGTAATACATTTGTAATACATTTATTTATTTTATACATATATAAAAATATTTTAAGCATTTATAAAATCGTTGGATCGCTAGCCTCTGCTCTAAGTCTGGGCAAACAATAAATTTAAGTAAACTTTTGCACTTAACTGTGTGATTAAAACTTATAAATATAAAACAACAATATACAATAGTCAGTTGGCTTTAGTGTTATGTAGGAGTTACGAGCTATAGTTTATCAGAGGAAAGATTATGAGACCAACTAACCCAACTCATTGCAAAAAGTTTAGCTAAGAATTCGTCTAACTATCTATTCGAGTTGAGCTGCTGGACTTTATTTCGTGACTAACATTTATATTCATATACTGGATAGGTCCGTTCCAAACCTTAGGCTGTGCGTATTTGAGCAGTTTAGTGGGATTTTAAGTGCAGCTGAGACAGATTGCTAAACAGCCAGCTTGGGTTTGTTGGCCTCGGCGTGCTTTCGCAGCCTCTTCATGCGCTGATTGCAGTAGACGCGCAAAAAGATGGCCAAGAAGACAATTAAAACGCCAAAAACGCCCAGAAACGATATGCTGTGCTGATATATGAAGCATGAGAGCATAATGGCTGCGGCCTGAAAATAAAAATTGATGACCCCGATAGTTGAAGCGCATTTGTGTAAACAAACAAACGAGCACTCACCTGCCGCAGTGTCATGATGATGGTAAACACAACTGGCCCGAAAACGGCTATTGTATGGTAAATAAACAATTGTCCCACAGCCGAGCATATAGAAAGTATAACGATGTCGAACACAAACAGGGGATGCTGAAAACAATACAAGAAAATTTGGGAAATTATAACTTTTCAGTCGCATCTGTCCTTTAACTAAAATAAAATTTGTTACTCTGATTGTTCTTACAGCAACTTTATGCAAGAGTGGACCGATTTATTTGAAATATATGTTATATAGTTGGACATTATTAAAAATTTATAAATAACAAATTTTTAAAATGAATTTTGTTGCCGTTTTTTGCAGTAAGTCATATAAAATATCGCTGCTTTATATGAGTTGCAATAAACTTGATATATATGCGACTAAAACAAGTCTACATACAAAATTTGGTGTCTTTAGTTGTTTTGATTCAAAAGTTCTGGATGATCATACAGTCGAACGGAAGAACAAACGAACTAACGGACTCAGGGACATGTCTATATCGAATTGCCCAACTACTGCCTGTTTCATTTATTTGGCATTATAGCACACGCTTAAAAATAAAACATTTCCGACTCACCTCAGTGGCAAAGGCCAAGGACTCCATAAAGCCACCCTGCATGGACAATGAAGCGCCCGTGAAGATCGATGAGAACAGATTAACGCCGCACATCATCTGCAGGGAAGTCATGCCATAGGTTTTGAATAAATTTCCCTGCCAGTTGGCCGTAAAGCTGTCAAAAACCATATACATGGATAAAAGAAAGATGCCAGTTAATGTCGTCACGCCACTGGCCTTGCTGTTATCTGCCGAGCCGGTCATGAAGAATATCATTCCAAGAGAAATGAGCAGAGCGGTCACATATTCGTACGATTCGTATTTGTTTTTTGACATTATCTTGCCCATCAGCATGACGGGAATGATTTTGCAGGACTTGGCCAGCACTTGTGTTGGAAAGTTGACAAACTTGAGGGCCTCGTATTGAAACCAAGCGCTCATTATATTCGAGAATGAGGCATAGGAGTACTTATAGAGTGGAGCCCGATGTCTGGTGGGTGAAGACTTCCATTGCAGATAACTGAAGGCCACAATGAAGGCCAATATGCGATTGGAGAAGACAAGAAATTGTGAGTCCTTGAATTTGGAAGATTCACCATCGAAATTGCGATACTCCTGAGTCATAATCTTCTCCTGCAACACACCCCAAGTCAAATAAGAGACCATCAAACCCAGAAAGCACCACAATAGCAGCACTGCCTCTTGGGAGCTGGTCCGTTTGGGCGTCGCAGCGCGATCGTTGGTAACGGGTAGCGTCACTTCCGAAGTGCCAGCCTTGGACTGCAAGGTATCTGCATCCGTATGACTCGAGTTGCCGGTTATACACATATTGACGGCTGTGTGTATGAACGTCTTGGTACCACGTTCCAAATAGTTCGTGCGCTGCACATACTTATAGATGAGATAGCCGGGCACAAAGACGCAGCTGTAGCCAAAGCAGTTAACCAGCAGTTTCAGGAGCCAAGCGTACTCTTTAGATTGGGCGTCCACCAGCTGTGTGAGGGTCGAATGTTGGGCGTAGGAGCCGCCAAGTGAGGCGCGTAGTAGATCCGAGAAAAAGTTTATAACCAGCAGACTGATGAGTATGAAGGAGCTGCCGCCAAAAAAGGATCATTAACTACTACTATCACTTAAGGGATAAGGCCAACCACTCACCATATAATCAGCTCCGGCACACGATTACCCATTTTGTAGACGTACATTTGGTTGGTATGACTGTAGAGTTGGAAATAAATATAAAAATGTGCTGACACGGCAAGATTCTTAAGACTGCTGCGGGCGTTATCGGTCTCTGCTATCTACCGAAGTCAAGAGTCAAAGGTTCAATAACCGCACACACAAGAACACAAACTAGTTTTTGCATAATAAGCCTAACAGACCGCAACAACAAATTGAATTGACCACTATCACATGATATGGAAATCTAAAAACATATTGCCGGGCTTCTGATTCTATATCTATACTCGTATATTCGTAATTTGTTAACTTTACAGAGACACGCGCGAGAAACCCAAACCAGACATACACGGTGGTTAGCTCTGCTGCTTATGCTACGGCACGCGCCGCCAGCTGTATAAATATAATTAATTATATATTGAATTGTTTATGTTTTGTTTGTTGGCCATCATTGCCAATCGAATGCTAACCAACTGAAAAGTGGCACGCAAGTGTATGTCCATGGTCTGGCCACTCTACAGCGCACAGCTGTGGGTCGAGACAGCTGTTGCATGTTAGAGGGTTGCCACTCAGGGCCAAGCCAGAGGACTGTTGGCTGTTTTAAAAATTATGATGTTAATGCTTATAAAAAGGTTAATACTTCATATTTTATTGGGTGCTGATATATAATTTGAGCTTGGGCTCGTAATTAAAAAATATTATTAAGAATTCTATTACGACCTCCAAGTACTCGATTGCTTTTAACTTATAAAATGAACTTAAATAATTTTTATAAACAAAACTATTTTCCACATAAATTTAATTTAAAATCAGCTGTTGGTTTTCTTCCATTTGATTTTTCAATTTTTTTAGTGCTCTTAATAGCTTCAAAATATTATTTTCCAACTCCGCAACATATGTTAATTTTTATAAACAAAACTATTTTCCACATAAATTTAATTTAAAATCAGCTGTTGGCTTTCTAACATTTGATTTTTCTATTTTACTGTGAAATTCCAAATGCTATTTAGTGCTCATACAGTTCTCAACGCGACTGATTGGCAGCTTTTAAAAATAGCAGCCTCGCAAAGTTTTCAAAATTGTTTCGTAAATGTGCGAGAAAAGCTGAAAATTCCAGCAAGTGAAAAATGTGGCGAAAAATTCTTTTGCTTCATTGCATGTGGAGTGCATTTTTCATTTACTATAGTGTACAGCAACAAATTAATATCGGTAAGCTGGCAGATATATATTAATATATATATATTAGATATCGAAATTTAATGTTTTTAGGTGCTTTTTTTTATGACGACGAAATGGAACTCGAAAAGGAATTTATGACTGTGGTCGATGCCTTGAATGGACCTGAAAACGAACAGACCCAAACGTTTCTACCACTGATCAGGCGTTTAAAGCCTGACGATGGCAGTATGTTGTTGCAGGAGTACGGTGTGTAAAGTCCAGTTCAATATTATGAAATGCGGCATTAAAAAATTATTTAATTTTTACTACAGCATGCGATCTCATCGACAATGGTGTCGTCGCTATTTTTGGACCAAGTTCAAAGGCGGAGAGCGGTAGGTAAAGGGGCGATCAGAGAAACCATCACAATTTGTATAGAATAACGAAGCAAAATAAAAAACAAGAAGAAGAACCTTGTCGGCGTAGCTGAGGGAAAACAAAAATTGCAATTACACTGAGAAAAATATACAATATCGAGTGAGGCTTGTTTTTGTCCCAAAAAAAAAAAGTGTATTATGTTTAATTTGTTTAATATTAGTTACTTCTTTTCTAATATCCCAAACATGGTGAAACGTTTTCTTTCGCTCTCTTCTGATTTTCTATATATCGTAGACATTGTCTCTCTGATCTGCAACAGCACCGGCATTCCACACATCGAATTCGATATAGCTGGGGAGCAATTGGAGGAGGATAAGATCAATCATCAGATGACACTCAATATATATCCCTCCCAGTTGGCCCTTTCCAAGGCGTATGCGGACATCGTGCAGAACTATGGTTGGCGTAAGTTTACAATCGTTTACGATGCCGATGATGGTAAGGATCAATTATTATTTGTAGAATTCTATATGCCCTCAATTTGGTTCTTCTTTTAGCCGGAGCCCCTGGGCGTCTGCAGGATTTGCTGCAACTTCGTGATGTCCACAACGAGGTGGTGCGAGTGCGAAAATTTCAGAAGGACGAGGACTATCGGGTCATGTGGAAGAGTATACGCGGCGAGCGACGTGTCGTTCTGGACTGTAAGCCCGATATGCTAGTGGAACTGCTGAATACCTCCTCTGAATTCGGCCTGACGGGGCAGTTTAATGTGAGAAAATCTTTATATTGGTTTTTGGCACTTTATTGGCATTTTCCCCCTTTTTGTAGCACATCTTTCTAACCAATTTGGAGACTTATAGCGACAATCTGGCCGAGTTGGCCGCAGACAATGAAACTTTTGCCGTAAATATAACCGCAGCGCGTATGCTTCTCAATCCGGAGCCCCCTACTGTGAGTTCAAAATTTGCTTTTCTTATATACATATATATATCTTTTAATATTTCAGGAGTATATCGATCGCTATGGCTATTACACGCAACGGGAGAACGTTGTCTATGAAACCATTGAGACGCCACGCACTCTAAGCCATGATCTCTTGCATGACGCTATTCATCTGTTCGTCAATGTCTGGCGGAATGCTTCCTTTTTCTATCCGGAATATATGGAACCGCCCCGAATGACTTGCGAATTCGCCGCTTCGAGTGGTCGCAGTTGGCAAATGGGTCCCTATTTGGTGAAGCTTATGAAGGCGGTAAATAAATGGAACTAGTAACTGAAATATTCAACATTTTAAGCAAATTGCAATTAAGGATTCACTTTTTAAATCTCATTCAGATAGAAGAAACTTCTATAATCTTCCAATTATGAAAGAAAAAAATTAGCTAAAGGGCTTATTCTTTTAAGAAGTTGAAGAAAACAAAAAGAGGGCGATCCTAAAAACACCAGAAACTAACTAGTCTCTAATAATTTTTAAAGCTTTCTAAGCTTGAAAGTTAAAGCTGCTTCATTTTTTTTCCTTTATTTTTAATGGCGATTTTTTAAATTATATTTTAATTTTTACCCTTTCTTTTGCAGACTTCCGGTCGGAACAACACAAATTTTCGGACCAGCAGCTTGCAATTCGATGAGGATGGACAGCGCCTAGATTTCAACATTGAGATTTACGATCCTTTGGACAGCATTGGCATTGCCGTCTGGAATACGAAGGGACATATAAGGCAGCTGAGCGTCGAGGCAAAGGTACAAAAGAAAATCGTCTATCGTGTGGCAACACGAATAGGTCCGCCCTATTTTAGTTATAACCAAACAGCGCTCAAGCTGAATATGACGGGCAATGACATCTATCAAGGGTACGCAGTCGACCTCATCGATGCCATATCGCAAGAAGTCGGCTTCGATTATATCTTCATACCGGTGGCGGATCAGCAATACGGAAAGTTGAATAAGGAGACCAAACAATGGAATGGGATCATAGGCGAGATCATCAATAATGTAAGTAATTGGGGTGGAAGGTTAGCTAGGCTCAGAAATCTCTTAGCTATTGTTTTTGTTTTTTTCAAAGGACGCCCACATGGGTATTTGTGACTTAACCATAACCCAAGCTCGTCGCACTGTGGTGGACTTTACGGTGCCTTTCATGCAGCTTGGGGTCAGCATTTTGGCGTATAAAACGCCGCAACAGGAGAAGGCGCTGGACGCCTTCCTGGATCCCTTTCGCGGTGAGGTGTGGATATGGATACTAATTTCCGTGTTCCTTATGTCCTTTTTGAAGCTCATTATGGCACGGTGCGTTAAATTTGTTGCCTAAAAAACACTATTGCTCTTTTAAATATTCATTTTCTTTTAGACTGGCCAAGTCGGAGTGGGTGAATCCGCATCCCTGCAATAAGGACCCAGAGGTTATTGAGAATCAGTGGCATTTGCATAACACCTTTTGGCTGACGGTAGCGTCGATTATGACGGCCGGCTGCGATATTCTGCCGCGCAGTCCACATGTTCGCATGTTGGAGGCCACCTGGTGGATCTTTGCCATCATTATAGCCAACTCCTATACCGCCAATTTGGCTGCCTTTCTCACCAACTCCAAAATGGAGGGCAGCATTGGCAGTCTGAAGGACTTGAGTGGTCAGAAGAAGGTGAAGTTCGGCACTATTTACGGAGGCAGCACTTATAATCTGCTGGCGGAGTCCAACGAGACGATCTATCGCCTCGCCTTCAATCTCATGGACAACGATGATCCTTCGGCCTATACCAAGGACAACGACGAAGGCGTCGAGCGTGTGCAAAAGAATCACGGAGAGTATATGTTTTTAATGGAGACCACCACTCTGGAATACAATCGCGAACTGCACTGCGACTTGCGCTCGGTGGGGGAGAAGTTTGGCGAAAAGCATTACGCCATTGCGGTGCCCTTTGGAGCCGAATATCGCTCCAATCTGAGCGTCGCCATATTACGGCTGAGCGAGCGAGGACAGCTCTACGATATGAAACAGCGCTGGTGGAAAAATCACAACTCTACCTGCGACGAAGAACCGGATCCGGACGAAACACCCGACATGACATTTCGCGACGTTCGAGGCATTTTTTATACGCTTTACGTTGGCATTTTCATAGCCTTTCTAATTGGCATCGCCGAGTTTTTGGTTTATGCGCAACAGGTGGCACTCGAAGAGCGCGTAAGTGTAGAACTATTTATCTGAAAACTATTTAAGCAACCAGTACTCATCTATATACTTCAGTTGACCTTCAAGCAGGCGTTTAACAAGGAAATCAAGTTTGTGCTCTGCGTTTGGAACAATAAGAAACCAATTGTGAGCGGCTCACCTGTTTCCAGTCTGTGTACCACACCCCGTCGCTCAGCTGAGAAGTCCTTGGAGCGCACACCAAAGTCCGCGCGTCGCATCGTCCTCGGTCGCTCGTCAGAGGAAATGAGGGAACTGCCGGCCGTTCCGCCATCAACGACCAGCAATAGCGTCGAGCGTTCTTCGCATGAGGAGGCGCGCGTTTAATTTCACTTCTTTGTGTGTTTTATTTATCATTTTACAAATAATATTTAACATTAAAGTATTTTTTTATTTTAAAATATGTTATAACAATCGTAACTGCTGCGCGTAAAATAAATTTAAACTAATTGCCATAGCAAGCAAATGTGAATCAAACTTATCGGTCTGGCAACTGTCTGCCTTTCGTTTATCAAAGGAACTAACCATATGCTGTATGATTATTGAAATTTATTTAAGAATAAGGCGCTTTATTTGTAATTTTGTGCATATAAATCTTAACAGACATTTTTTGAAAACTTTCATACTAAATTCTGCGCGCCAAAATCAATTCATTTTACAAATGTTAATAGAGTCTAGTGGCAACACCAAGTAGGCAAGTCTCCAGGGCTGCACTATAATTGAATGTACAGCACTGAAAATTACGCCATATTGCTTTTGCTAGTTTTTCGTATGTGTAGCACGGCGTTCTTTGTCAAACTGCGCAGTAATTCACATTTTTGTGCGGGAAAAAGCATTTAAATAGTATTTGAAGAAAGAGGAAAACATTTTCCAGTGCATAAAAAACCATTTGCAAGTACAAATAATAAAAGGGCAAACGCGAAAATATAAGAAATTACCTCTACAAGCTTCGTTGGAAAAAAGTTGAATTGTGAAATTCAATTGTGGACATCTAAAAAAACATACATAAGAATTGCAGAGAAACTGCTAAAAAGTAAGTAAAAATGCATTTTATTTGTAATTTATATGTTAATTTGCAACTATTTGTAATATATGCCAAATCCTGCGTGGTTTGACAACGAAAATTGTGTACAGCTTGTCAGCGGAGCACTACTTTGGCAAATGTTAAGTAATGAGTCAGCCTTGTGTGTTTTCGTTGTTGTAGCAATAGCTATATTAATAGAAAAATTTGACAAGCTGCATGAAATGTGAACGCCAGGTGTACATAATAATGCATACGTGTCTATCGTATCGTCCCCTTTTATTGCCTTTATTGCCAGGCAGCTGCGAAACGGCTTACCTACCCTTGTATCCTGTAATTTGTCATTTGTAATTTGCTACCTGCACTTGTATATAACTAATGTGTGTTTTCGGATTTCATTGCAGTTGCAAACTCAGTTTCAACGCACACAGTACAACTGTGGAAACGGCGCTAAAGCAAAAACTACACTTAAAACCTGAAATTAAAGAATATAATTAAAAACATTGGATTTATCACTGCGCACATATCAAGAAAAACACCCCGGAATGGTGCAGACTGGAATGTCATTAAACGAACGCTTCACCCAAATGCAATCGCAGACGTCGCCCTCAACACGTGGTAGACGTCGCAGTCGTTCCCGCAGCCGCACTCGCAAGATTGTCGATCCCGGCGTGGATCACAATGTGTCGGCGGCCAATGCGCGTTTGCTGCAGGAACTAAAACGGAAGCATACGGTGCAAGCGGCATTGAAATTGAAGCGCGTACGTGTCTTAAGCTAAATGGGATGTGAAGAGCAGCACATGACAGCATTACTGAATAATACAATACACACAATAGCGTTTGAACGTGCCCCTTCGGGCCAACTTGTGGCTAGTTTTGTGATTGCCTTCAAAATTCTGGCTGGGCAAGGCACGGTTAATAATCGTCACAAAACATTTTTGAAATTAATGGAACAACAGCGGCAGCAGCATCAGCAGCAGCGGCAGTTAAAGCCCCCAAAAATGGTTGAAGAGCGCTTTCGTGCACGCTGCTAGATTGTAACACCGCCTTCTGCGATGTCAATCCTAGGAGGGAAGTGGCAATTCTCAAGGAGGGAGCATAGTGTGTTTTCGTAATTGAGCTTGAGAGCTCCTCAGCTTGCCCAGCCCAGAAATAGCCCTGCAACGCAAACAGTTGAACGTTAAACGCAAGACCCCCATTTGTTGTTGACTTGTCCGTCAATCAATAAATCAGTCAGACCAGACCAGACCAAACAGTCAGTCAGTCAGTCAACCAACGTACACAGCGCGTTCGAGCGAAAACGAAAACAGATTGTAATCGAATCCCCCCTCCAAAAACCTTATGCATCTTACAGAGAAGCTTGCGGACAGCTGCTACAACTGGCGGTAATGGCGCGATTGGCAGACGCGTTGGCGGTTCACGGCCATTGCGTCTAGCGCCGAATGGAAAGCCGATACGGATGAACAATGTCACCCGAGTTGCAACGTAAGCACCTATAAGAAACTATTATTATTAAATAACCTGAACTGCGCGCGCGCTCTCTCGATGCGGACAAATATATATTATTATTGTATTGTATTGTAAAACGGCGGCAGCGCAGGCGCAAAAAACTAAATCCTAAGATCAACTCTCAAAACAACTACTACAACAATCACACATCTACTTCTGCTTCTTCTTCACAAACCGCAAAACACTAAATTCTGCAACTAACAAAAAAAAAAAATATATATATATATCAAATATATATGCAATAAAAATTAGCATGCGCGCCGATCTGGTCGAACACAGCGCTCAACGTCGCAGCGGCAGCCGCAGTCGTCGCTCAAACTCACAGGTTGGTGGCATCGGACAGCGTCTAGGCCTGGGACTGCGTCGCCCCACAGTGGGTGGTGCTGCCGAACGTGTGGCCCGGCGGCGTGGCAGACGTGTTGGTGGCCCTGGCCAGCCGCGACGTGGACGCGCAGCAGCAGTAGCCGCACAATTGCCGAGACAGCAGCAGCAACAGCAGATCCGCGGCCGTTCCCGCAGCCGCTCCCGTGGACGCATTCAACCCATAGCTGGAGGTATACCTGGCGGCAATATACGCGCTCGTAGTCGCTCACAGAGTCGCACTCGCCAGATTCCTGGGCGCAATGGACGCGCCCAGAGTCGGGGCCGTCAGTCGCGTGTTTCTGTCAAGGAACGCTTGGGTGTGCGTCCAGGGGCTGCCTCCTCAGCCCCCGCTGGCAATAATAGACGAGGCAACCGTCGTGCCAATAGCAAACTACGTGGCGTGGCCAATGGACGTGTCGTTAAGCGTGGCAATCAAAAGGGCAATGCGTCGGCAGCCCAGAAGGGCGTTGTTGCTGGTGCTGCTGGTGGGCGCAAGGGACGTGCTCGAGGAAGGTAAGTTGTTCAATGAAACTAAAGATTGTGGGGATATCTAGCTTTAACAATAATAGTTGGACAGGTCGGATTGCTAGTCTGTCAGAAAATGTTCCTTACTAATTTTCATCGTTGAGTTATGCTTTCCCCCAATCGGTCTAGTCAATAAGAGAAAATGAAGCTTTAACAGAGGGACTAGCTGAGCTATTTTTCGTGGGGTTCAATTATACAGATCGAGATCATTATTTTTAACGAATTATTAGCCATAGGGCCAGATCTTGCTTCAGAGACTACTTTTCCTCTCTTTTCGCCAATCTCATTACCTTCATTACTCCTTTCAGATCTGCTGTGCGTGCTGCTACTGCTGTCGGTGCCGGGCGTCGCTCGCGTTCGCGCCAACGTCCAAATGCTGCCGCTGCGTCGACGCAACAAGCGGGATTGACAGTGTCCGGCAAGGCTGGGATCCGTCGTCGTCGCCAAGGACGTAGTGCACAACGAGCAGGCAACACAAATGGTAATTCAGCGGCATCGGGCAATGCCAAGCAACACCAACAGAGACCGGGCCAGGGACAGGGACAGGGACGTCGTGCCCGCAGTCGCGGACGTGGACGTAGAGTTGGCAATGGTGGCGGTGAGGCCGGTGGTCGCAGAGTTTCAGGTAACAACGGAAGAGGCTCAGCTGCAAGAGGCTTCTCGCTGAGGATATATAATCGCTGATGGATATTTTTTGTTCTTCCTCTCACCCTTAACCGTTGAACTGCTTTGACTAACCGATTTTCTTTTTCTCACACACTCAGGTGGCAGGCAAGTACAAAAGCGACTGGAGGTTAAGCGCGAGGATTTGGACAAAGAGCTCGATCAGTATATGTCCACCACAACGTCAGCAGTGGATTATCTGTTGAAATGAATGCTGCAACCAAAAGAAAATATATGAAGGAAAGAGACAAGAAATGACCACCGCCAGGGAAAGTTTAGATTTAAGTTCTTTGCTTAGTTAATAAGATTTTTAGCTTTAAACACACACACAAAACTGCTAATACTACACACTACAAAAACAAAAACAAAAGCAACTACACAGTTAGGCGCATAGGTCCTGTAAATAATTTCAGACACGACCTCAAGGAACTGAACACTAATTATAATGAATATAATGTTTGTAATCTCTAAACAAATACAATTCATTGTTTCACTAACACGATTGTGTTTTTTCTATCTTAGAATTAACGATAGGTGGCCAAAGAAAATAAAAATTGATTGAAAGTCGACCTATTCTGCATCGAATTTGATTTTCAACAATTTAATTTCTTTATTCCAGATACATTTTATTCACAATCTGGTTTATTTCTAATATATACTTTGGTTTTATTAATTTCCTTTACTTTGCGAGTTTTTAATTAAACATTAAAATACTTTTTTCCTTGAAGCTCATTTATTTTTGAAACTGGTTTTGGGCTATTATAGATATTATTTGAATAATTCTTTTTTATTGAAAATATTTTGATCCATTGAAATTATTGCTTTTTAAATTAGAATTACTTTTTTTAAAATTACAATACAATTTTTTTCAAAAACATAGCTTGCCATAGAAAATAAATTTCTTTCTTTACATTTTCTAGATAAAATATTTTATTGAAAGTTCTTTATTGAAATACTTTCGCAAACATGTTTTCGAACTGAAAATCTAAATTTTTATTAAAAAATAGCTTGCGTGGTAATCTGGTTCGGTTGGCAAGTGAAATGGCTATTGGAATACAAATTCATGGACGATAGAAATGTATATTTATAATTAAAGTAAATTCTCCAAAATAAATAATCATAATCATACAACGAATAATCCTCAATTTTCAACATAGCACACAAAATCTTAATTAATGCTTTAAAGACTTAGATAGTTGCCAACTTAATTGACTTACTTGAAGGTTGAATAGTTAGAAATTTAAGCAAACATACTTTTCTTATCAGAAACACACTATCCTACTCGCTTGGAATTCAATGCTGGGACTCACTCCCAAAGGAGAAATTTAATTAAAATTTTTCGACCATGTTTTGACAAAAAAAAAACTAATGCAATGAAGTAGGAATTACCGCAGCACCTTCAGCAGCCAAAGGACGACCCAAATCAGAAGACACATACACATTTATATACAAAGAGAATCGACTACGGCAATCAATCACAGAAATTAAAAATATTCACTTAAGGCAAACAGGAACAGCAACAACAGCAAAAGCACTAAAACAAAAAAGGACACACAGACAAAGAAGAACCGACTACAAATAAATAGATTTATCTTCTCAAATGCCACAAGGGATGCGATGGGCAGGAAGTGCTGACTGGCAATGAATTGGAAAGGTGGAAGCGATACAGAAGTGCCTAAACATTTCATATAGAGATGTGTGTGTGTGTGTATGCGACCATATTTGTTTTGCACACACACACACACATGCGAACGAACACACACACATTCAAGCACAAATGCCAATTTCCGGCACTCAAACTTTCATAGCCAGATTTTGCGACCTTGGCCCGCACCTTTATTGCAATAAAAGAAGTGAATTTTCGTTCGCTGATAGAATCAGGCGAGATTACTGTGTTTGTCAATACAATTAATTATTGCCATAGCTAAGATTTTAAGTATTCATAATAATAAATAGATAGAAGGAAATGAAGAAAGCCTAACAGCACATATTTTGATTTCAAATAAAAATATCTGCAATATATTTTTTAAAATAAAGTAGTTCTTTGAAGTTTAAATCAAAGTTTCAACAAATTGTTAAACTAATTTTAGTGAAAGCTATATTTTAAATCAACTTTGAAAAAAAACCAGTAGTTTTTAAAAACTAAAATGCACTTTTTTAAACAAATTTAAATTTGTTTATTTATTTAAAACAAGAAAAGAATGCTAAAGTCGAGCAAGCTCAACTCTTAAATACCCTGTACCTCTCACCAAGCAGAGCATGGGCAGCCATTTTATTTATGGCTATAACTTTCTTCAGAATTGACCTATCATGATGAAACTTGGCATACAGACACATAATCACTAACGGGATGTAGCTATCTAATTTTAGTTCGAAATTCCAAGAACTACGGGAGTTATGGAATCGTGGAAACACGAATTGCGGGGGAGTGGGGGGGGGGGTGTATCAGAATAAAAAAATAAACTTGACCTGCCTAGGGCTTATGGGAATCTGGATACCGAGTTTGGTTATTCTAGCTCTTGTACCTTCTGAGATCCTTGCGCTCATACAGACGAACGGACGGACATGGCTATACCGACTTGGCTATCGGCTTGTCACCCTGATCAAGAATATATGTATATACTTTGTGGGGTCTGCCACGCCTCCTTCTGTGTGTTACATACATTCGCACAATAGCCAACTAGTATAGCCTTTCACCCTTTGGGTACAGGCTAGAGATGGGCACGGGCCGGCTATTTTCGGCCCGACACGACACGGCCACGAAATTAACTTTTAGAAACACGCACGCGCACGCACGACGAAAATTTTTCTTAACACGGCCCAACACGGCCCAACACGAACTTTTTATATATTAAATATAAAAATTAAAAAAAAAAAATATATATATATATATATATATATATATATATATATATATATATATATATAAACATTACAAATTTTTATTCAGAAAGATTATCTTATCAATATTTGAGCTAAGAAGCCGAGTACGTCGCTCATTTAAAATATGTCCAGAAGTGGAAAAAACTCGTTCGCTTGTTGCAGAGCTGACAGGGATATTGAGTATATGCCTTGATAATTGCCGTAGCATTTTACATTTTGTTGTTTTTTTCCAGAATGTTAGCACACAAATTCCTGGATCAACTACACTACTTATATAGTCATCTATTTCAATATCCATTCTTGACCTGTCCAATTTAATTTTTTTTTGAATTATTAGTGTCCAAAATTTCAGAAAAGTCGTGTTGACTATTGGGTGCTTCGTTTTCTGATTTTAGTGTTCTTTCGTGTTTCCTCGTGCGTGTTTTGTCGTGCCTTTTTGGCTCAACACGAACACGCACGGCCACGCACGAAATCGGAATTTACAACACGAACACGCGGGCCCACGCGTGGCACGAAGTGCCACGACAAAAAACACGGCCCGTGCCCAACTCTAGTACAGGCTATAAAAATATAGATACATACTCAAAAAAGTACTTTGCATAGTCAATCAAAAGCAGAAGGGCCACTCTAATTATCTCCCCCTGCCTCTCTCACTCATCTCTATTGATCCATTGACTTCACCGCGCATTGCACTGTGAGTGGCTGAACATGTTCGAAGCACAAGCTGCAAACATCGAACATCAATTTGTAGAGAGCTGTCAGAATGACACACGAAACGCATTGCCTTAAAAGCTGAAATGGCAAGCCACTCAAGAACACACACTCGCACTCACGCACACGCTCACGCACACAAACAAAAACAAGAAGAGGGAACAACAACAACTACTACAACAACATCACAACACCTACAGGTTGTATGCTAATTAACACAAAATGCCCATTTGTTGCTAAAGCTAATTGCACGAATATCCATATCCCACAGCAGCCATCATGAAGAGTGTTTCTCTCTGTGTGTGTGTAAGTGTCATTAACCCTTTCTTGCCCGTCAGCTGTTAAAGGCATTAACAATTTATAAGCAATTAGTGAATGTTTCACAACGGTCCGGCTCGCGCCGCTTGCATAATTAGACAATTCAACTTAAACAAGAAGTTATGTGCACACCTTTTTTGTGCCATTTATTCTAGTTTGCCTAATTTTTGTTTTTGTTCTTGCAGGGTACAAAAAATGTCCAAACGGGAAATCAGAAGCAACATGCTGCCAGGTACATGTTGTAAACACCAGAAGTGAGTCTTGGCCCTCAGTTGGCAGCTTAAGCTGCAGCTGCGAAGCAAACCAATTTTACTAATCTGTTATTGCTGTTGTAGTTGTTGTCGCTGCAAAGGCAGAGCCTTCGAGTTGACAGTTGGCTGGCTGGTTGGTTGGTGGACGTGAACCTCAGGTATGTATCCGCATACTTTATTCGGTTGAAACCGCGCACCGGATTAGCAGGCAAAGGAGCGCATTCCCCATTTTGTGGCACTTAAGTCGTTTGTTGAATACTCAAGCGCAGAAAAAAAAGGGAAAGCTGACGTTGGAGCTGAACTGTAATCAAGGACTGACGACTGCGGTGCATGAAATGAGAGTTTTATGTGCTTTTCTGTCGACGTTCTTAACACAAAATCTCACTTTTTTAATCCCCGCCGGGCATGAAAACTTAGTCTGTTTGCGGATGGATGCTTTGTATATTTATAATGCTCCTTTATATGAAATATTTTAAAGTTGTAGGTGATGTGAACGCAAGATTACAATTTATAAAATTTAAAATATGTAATCCTTTGAATTCACAAAAAGTTTATGTTGATACACAACTCTTCCATCAACTTGTAGGCATAACGCTCTCTGCAACATGTTTATAGAGTTCTCGTAAATATTGAAACATGTTGATCCTCAGCAGCCGCCACATGTTGCAAAGCGATTGTAGGCCACATTTACTGTCGCTGTTAGAGCGCTCTTATTCAAATCGATTATGAGCTTAGACAAGGAGCGAAGCCGTTATATACATATTACTCTGCCAGACTTAATTTCGTAATTTGGTTTGCCAATTGTGGCACCTGGCTTACAGTTATTTATTTGATTGTTGATTCATTTCTCTCCCTGTTAGATCTTAACAGATAACGCGCTTGTTGGAATGCCAAAAAATGAGAGCGGCATTTGTAGAGCACTTAGTACTGCTTGAACTGTTGAGAGCGTCGGTCTAATTGCGAAAAGTTGAAATTAAATGGTTTCTCGGTATTTAAATATTAATATAATGGGAAATAAATAGTAATTTACACGTGCATTAAGTTCTGAATACAAGCGCATGTGCTGAGTTATTTTTTTTATTTATTTTTTCAAGTGATTCTAGTGGGATTTGTGAAGTGTTTTAAGATATTTCAAAGTGTATAATCATACATACTTGTATGTACATCAGCAATTAATTTAATTTATAAACGTAAGTTATTATTTTTCATAAAATGTTGTTTTTCTTATTTGTACTTTAAATACACATTCTCGTTTCTGCGCTTGCAGAAAAAAAGCAACAAAGAGTACAGTTATTTTCCCTACTCCTTTTATTTCGCATGAATTCACTCTCATT